CATCATGGTCGTTGGAAACTAATCCTCTAGAAGAAGTTAATTTTAAGTCTTTATTTTATTTTTATATATAATTAATTAGTATTTGCTTATTTTAAGGAATAATTAATTTTTCCACAAAATTTGTATAAATAATTAAATACAGTCCAGATACAATGCTTATTTTTGGGTAAACGTCACTTTTTTTTTTTTTTTTTCAAGAATGTTTATAGTTTGCATAATTTCAGGGTTTTTAAAACATGTTACTTACTTGTCACAAATTGGATAAATTATGTAGAAAATTATAAAGGTTCAAATAATAATAATAATAATAATAATAATGATAATAATAATATTGATTTAGACCATCAAAATAAAAGTAAAAAATATTTTTTAATCAAGGCATATGAAAATTAAGATGGTAGCTATATAAATGTTATCTTAGGTTTAAAGAAAATGGGAAATATTTATTATTATACTTATTCAGGATTTTACTCCTAAATTAAATATCTTTTACTACAGGGAATATGAAAATAAAAATGTTAAACAGTTAATGTTATCTTAAGTTTAAAGGAACTAAGATATTTATTATGATTTTATCAATGATTTTACTCCTATATATAACGTAAAATATAGAAAAAAAAAATTCTTTCACAAATCTCTTATACAATATTTTAAAAACATTCAATTATGTAAATATAAATTTTCTTTAAAAGTTTAAATCGTAATTAAGTAAATTTTGATTTACACTAATATAGTTATGATTTTTTAAAATATTTATTTGAGTATTTTAAGCAAATGGAAAGTTGGAAACCGGTGATGGACGGCTCCGAAAGTGAAATGGAGCTTTGGGGAATTAATAAGTGGGCTGTATTGAATCTGAACCGTCAGAGGGTAGAGCTGGAGGGCGGTGAGGTTTTCGAGATTAACGGTTTTAGTGGGCCCAATTACGTGAGTTTACGTTATTCGGGTGGGTTTTGACTTTTCAAATATTCAAGTGTGGACAAGATTAGGTGACGTATCATAGGCTGCATGCTGACCAAACGACACGTAAGAAAATAATAAATCTAGATATGTATGAGTATGACTAGATTATTAGGTGAGTCATGCCAAATTAGCGACCTACATTAACGCTTAATCCGGTTTACCATTTATACCATTAATTAAACTGATTTTAGATTGAAGGCTTGGGTTTAAAGAAATATCTGTAGAAGGAAATGACTTGAACATGATCTTATATTTTAATTAGGATAAGATAAGAGTTGACATATTTTTCTCTCTACGGAAAACCAAATTTAGATTTGATTAAATTTAATCTTTAAATAAGAGATAATAACATTTATCAAGGAGTTGAAGCAATTAATGTAGAACAAGTGGTAATTTAATTGAAGTTAGAGAAATTAATTGGGTTTATTTATATGTCATAATCTAGATTTTTGAGTAAAGAAAATGCAATTCTCAATCATTCCATGATTGATAAGAGAAATGGTTCAATTTTCCAAAATTTATCATTTGATTATACCAAAGCAGTCAAGTTTTTTTCCATTTTGAATAAATCTTAAATTATTCCTTTTACACTACCCAAAAAAAATTAAAATCAGTCTGGGTATCTATAACAACTTCTATAATGCAGAATAAGGAATTCATGAAAGTATTAATAAACTATTAATGCACATCCACTAGATTTTACAGTTTGATTAACAAGAGAGCAGAAGAAAATCAAAATTGGCAATCAAATTAACTGAGAAACTTTAATGAAGAATGAATATGAATGGGTGACATGGTACAAAATTCAGCCAATCAAGAAAAACATAAACAGTAAGCATTTCCAAGGTAAAGGCTATATTAGATAAAACATGAGGAAAAACCAAGTGTAACAGCAAATATAAAGGAGCAGCATTATGTATAAGAAATAAGAGCTAAACAGTGAGATGCATGATTGGGAAGGACACGCAATAACTCACAAATGATACACGAGGTATACTCAAGAGGCATGAGGGAAGATGAAATGAAATGAATAGGTGTCAAGAAAAAATCAAAGTTACAGCTCATGGAAACTATACTTATAAACAAAAGCACTAACTAGGCAAGACCTCTGTCATTGACCCCAAAATACTGAATTTGAGCATGGAAGAACCATGGTTGGCCTACATTAAACAATATACCACCTTAAAACCTTTTCTTGGTAGAAGGAAGCCTGATTCGAAATCTAAATCATAATTAGTAGGCCTTTATTTTTTTTGCAAAAGTGAATGCCTCTTCTCTAAATTTGTGCTGCAATGAGTTAAAACAATACTATGTACCCAGCAAAACTAGAACATGCAGTAAACTTGGCAGTTTATTAAATAAAAATAGAATGTGATGCTCAATAAAGCAATGCATATTTACCTGCATAATTGGGCTTCAACACCTTCAACGATGAAGCACCTTTCTTTATCTCTTCTGCAAGTTTCTCTAGTGTCCATACATGGAATGTACCTGTAATAGCAACAAGAAATTTTAATCAAAAGACTCATATATATAGTAACATTGTAAAGCAGCATTAGACGATGATCTAGAACTGAGAAAATGCAGTGGCATATAATAATAATTAAATGACTGACAACAATATATTTTACAAATCATACGCTGTATAGAAACAGGAGAGAAAACAGTAGAACATTATTTACTGGAAATTCATTTTACTAAATATCACCACAAAATATGTAATATGAATTTCTTTTAGTAAATCAGAAACAGTTAAATATGTACATCAGTACAAATACTATGTCACCATTTTGTTGCCATTGGTTGCCCAGAACATAAAACTATGACCAACTAGAGTTAAGGTCAATTACCATGGCAACACACCACATATGTCAACCATCATCTAACTTGTGAAATTCAGAGTCAAACAGGTGATGTTACAAATGGGTGGAATGGATGACTGAAACAATAAACTATACTGGCCTATAGATTACTCATACATTTTCATGGTCTTGACACACATAAACAAACTATTTCAACTTTTTCTATCAAAATGATAGTTAGGTTCTCTGCTTACAAACAACACGATATCACAGACACAATTTATATGGATAATGCCAGTGTACTAGAAGCTAATGAGAGCTATATGCCAAGTGCCGACTAGAAGCTAATGAGAGCTCTAATCTATGGCATCAGCAAAATCATGCTTTCACATGAAACTAACTAGAAAAAAAAGAGCAAAATTATACAGCCAATCACTAGAAAGCTACAATTAAGAGTCTAAAAAGGGAACTGAATAGGTAAGAAAAACGAGTTCAGGTTTCAATTTATCTAATTCTCAAACACATCTGAATCCCGAACACATATGACATTTCTGAACGAAAAAAGTAAATTCCCATTCTGTGTAAGTTTAGTTTATAGAATTCACAGGGTGATTCTTATAATAAATTTGATCACCTTCAAAGCCGTCTAGTCTAATCTAAATCTAATCTAATCATTTTTTGTCACTTAGTTTTGAAGCATATAAACATGATTGAGTGAATGTCTCAAGAAAAATAAAGAAAGCTAATACTCGCTTGTAAGAATAAAATTAATTATTATCAAAGATATTGTAATTAATGACATTAAAATTTCATTGCCCTATCTGTTTTCTTCTTCTGCAATCCAATGGAGAATTCAAGATTTATTATGGTTATGAATAATCAAGATTTATAGTTATTAACTACCTTTAGTTGACCGAATGGTTTGATAGTTTAAGTCCTTCTTCGGTTGTTAATAAGAGTAGTTATTGAAGTTTTTACCTTACCGGTAATTTCAGACAGTGTTTTAAAACCTGGCCCTATCCAACCGGTTTAACCAAGACTCGGGAGCTTCATTAGGCCGAGTTAACAATTTCACTATTCACCAAAAATCCTAGAATTTGAGATGATGATTGACAAACAATTGAAGGTTGGAATGTTGGAGCTTTTGAAGAAAAAAGCACCGTTGAGTGCAATGGTAACGACATAGTTGATTTTCGGTGAGTGAATTGACCGGAAATTGAAAAAAACCAACGACAGCAATAGCCAGCTTTTGTTGGTGATTAGTGAGGCTAACGGGGGTGGGGTGAGATGGGTTTTGGTAGGGAGGAAGAAGGGAGTATTATTGGGGTGATGAGGAGGGTTTTTCGACACCGACGTCTGTGAGATTTGGCTTGGAATGTCGATGTCGGTGTTAGTGAGATTTGGCCAAAATCGAACCAATTTCGACCAGATCTTGAATAGATTTTCTAGGGAATGGGCTTAAGGGATGATTGGGATTGCATTTGGGGTGTCGTCGCAACCAACTAGTCATGGACCGATTTGTATTTGTGGCGTGTTTGCTAAATTTTAAACCTGTAGGACTTACTTGTAATTTTTAGGGGTGTATTTATTAAATTTTAAAAGTTTTGTCATCCAGTTTGACAAGCCAGTCAACCTCGGACCCCACAACTTTATTGGGTTTCACCCTGAGGTTGTTATTAAAAAATTTAAGGTCCCGAAAGATTATTTGAGGTACGTGTAAGTCGACATGAACACCCCTTGTCATAAAAAAGAGAAAAAAAAAAATTTGTAATTATTTAAATGAAAACTATAATGGAAAGGTGCTTGACTCTTGTCCATTATTAGAATCCTCGCCTAATTGAAGCTCAAAAGTTTGAACATACGGTAGAGAGAATTGGTGTACTATTTTCGAAAAAAAAGTACATAATTGAATAGTTTCACACGGAACATGTTGTGCTGAAATTAAGCCTCAAAAATTTCTTTTTCAGAGAGAAAAGGTGAATAAAAGTTTGACATTTTAGATTTGACTAATACAGAACCCAAGATCACATGTTGAAACTTGAAAGTGGTGTTTGGAATATTTAGTACAAGGGGGTTGATTTTAAGGGAATATATATAACAACGAAAAGTAACACATACCTGATGTTAGGTGCCTGTCAATTAATACAATCTCTCATATCTTGATATACACACCATAAATATTTTACTTGTTTTTAGGTTTGATCTGGCAAATTCCAATTGATTATAGATTCTACATAAACAAAAGACATTTGCAATTCCTCACACTAATAATAATATTTCGTCTTAAATTACGAATACAAAGCAACCTGAAACAACTTTACCATTGAGAAAAAACAACTGTATGTATAACACGCGTACAAATCATATACGAAAAAAAGCGGGAATTATTGTTTGCAAACCTTAAGAGATATAGGAAATACAAATTCTAAATGTGAAAAGAATGGAAGAAAGGCCATGTAATGTAAATGTGTTTATGGTAATTGGTATATAATCCAAATCCAAATTTAAGCACTTCCCTTGAGCTTTTTTGTGATGTTGGCAATGTACTTCCCCTGGTGGAAAGCTTGCTCCAATTCCAGCTCAGTTGGCTGTCTCGAGCCATCCCCAGCATAAGTTCCGGCACCATAGGGACTTCCACCCTTGATCTTCTCCATCTCGAACATACCTGCGCCAAATGTGTATCCGATGGGAACGAATATCATCCCGTGGTGAACAAGCTGAGTGATTGCGGTCAACCTGTAAAAAGAATTTAATAGTTAGTTTTCCTTCCTTGTTTTGAAGGAGTTTTAGTAATTTCAGTTAAAACTTAACCATGATATAGGAACTTACGCTGTAGTCTCTTGTCCACCACCTTGTGACCCGGTGCTATAGAAGATCCCGGCAGGTTTTCCTGCAAGTTGTTGGGTTCTCCAGAGACCACCAGTTGCATCCATAAAAGCCTTAAATTGAGCAGCCATCATACCAAATCTTGTTGGGAAGCCAAAAACAAACCCGTCAGCCTCAGCAAGTTCTTGGGCTGTAATGATTGGTACATCACTCTTTGGTGGTGCACTCATCTTGCCGAGCACCTCCTCTGGCAGCGTTTCAGCAACCTATTCCACATGCCCACTAAAATCAGTCTGGGTATCTATAACAACTTCTATAATGCAGAATAAGGAATTCATGAAAGTATCTTTACTTTTAATAAACTGTTAATGCACAGCCACTAGATTTTACAGTTTGATTTAAACAAGAGAGCAGAAGAAAATCATAACATATTGGCAATCAAATTAACTGAGAAACTTTAATGAAGAATGAATATGAATGGGTGACATGGTACAAAATTCAGCCAATCAAGAAAAACATAAACAGTAAGCATTTCCAAGGTAAAGGCTATTAATTTAGATAAAACATGATGGAAAAACCAAAAGTAACAGCAAATTAAAGGAGCAGCATTATGCATAAGAAATAAGAGCTAAACAGCTGAGATGCATGATTGTGGAAGGACACGCAATAACTCACAAATGATACACGAGGTATACTCAAGAGAGCATGAGGGAAGATGAAATGAAATGAATAGGTGTCAAGAAAAAATCAAAGCTTACAGTCTCATGGAAACTATACTTATAAACAAAAGCAACTAACTAGGCAAGAACTCTGTCATTGACCCCAAAATACCTGAATTTGAGCATGGAGGACAACCATGGTTCATGGCCTACCATCTAAACAATCTACCACCTTAAAACCTTTTTCTTGGTGAGAAGGAAGCCGGATTCGAAATCTAAATCATATATTAGTAGGCCCCTTTATTTTTTTTGCAAAAGTGAATGCCTCTTCTCTAAATTTGTTGCTTGCAATGAGTTAAAAAAATACTATGTACCCAGCAAAACTAGAACATGCAGTAAACTTGGCAGTTTATTAAATAAAAATAGAATGTGATGCTCAAATAAAGCAATGCATATTTTACCTGCCATAATTGGGCTTCAACACCTTCAACAGATGAAGCACCTTTCTTTATCTCTTCTGCAAGTTTCTCTACGTGTCCATACATGGAATAGTACCTGTAATAGCAACAAGACATTTTAATCAAAAGACTCGTATTAGTAACATTGTAAAGCAGCATTAGGCGATGATCTAGAACTGAGAAAATGCAGTGGCATATAATAATAATTAAATGACTGTACAACAATATATTTTACAAATCATACACTGTATAAGAACAGGAGAGAAAACAGTAGAACATTATTTACTGGAAATTCATTTTACTAAATATCACCACAAAATATGTAATATGAATTTCTTTTACGTAAATCAGAAAACAGTTAAATATGTACATCACGTACAAATACTAAGTCACCATTTTAGTAGCCATTGGTTGCCCAGAACTATAAAACTATGACCAACTAGAGTTAAGGTCAATTACCATGAGCAACACACCACATATATCAACCATCATCTAACTTGTGAAATTCAGAGTCAAATGGTGATGTTACAAATGGGTGGAATGGATGACTGAAAACATAAACTATACTGGCCTATAGATTACTCATACATTTTCATATGGTCTTTGACCACAGAATAACAAACTATTTGAACTTTTTCTATCAAAATGATTAGTTAGGTTCTCTGCTTACAAACAACACGATATCACAGACACAATTTTATATGGATAATGCCTAGTGCCTACTAGAAGCTAATGAGAGCTATAATGCCAAGTGCTGACTAGAAGCTAATGAGAGCTCTAATCTATGGCATCAGCAAAATCATGCTTTCAGCTACATGAAACTAACTAAGAAAAAAAAGAGCAAAATTATTACCCAGCCAATCACTTAAGAAAGCTACAATTAAGAGTCTAAACAGTGGAACTGAATTAGGTAAAGAAAACGAGTTCAGGTTTCAAATTTATCTAATTCTCAAACACATTCCTGAATCCCGAACACATATGACATTTCTGAACGAAAAAAGTAAATTCCCATATCCTGTGTAAGTTTAGTTTATAGAATTCACAGGGTGATTCTTAAATGAGCATTCTGTACAACAAAGCAAACAAAAATAAATCCACAAACAGAATACGATAATGAAATTAAACTGCCTCACTAATCACAATAACTTTACTTTTCACACCAATCTACCTAATTCAGAACGAGATTCTCCCTATAAATCGTCTGTATGATACAAAATAAACTTCCATGTCCATCCAATTCAAATTCCATCATACCAAACACAGCTCGAGTCTATATTTCGACACAAAATTGAGCATTATATTTAAAATTGAATTATAGTTCATGATTTTCTTCTCCAAAATGCAATCTTAAAAACGAACTTCACAACCTTCAAATCACATTATTAATACCTTATCACCTCAAATGGCAATCATTTCACGCTTCCTCAGCTGAAATTTTACTCTCAATATTTTCAATTCATAACAATACGACTCTTTCATAACCGAAGTAAATTTCAAGAACTACAATTACAAATTCTTAAAAGGCTAATCCGATCAAATGATTCACCGTAAAATCTAAAACTAAAGCACACTAATCACACAGAAGGAAGTTAAACAAAACTCAACAAAATTGAAAGCAGAAACAGATCCAGAAATTAACGTCGTAAATTCTAAGCAGAAACGAACGATCAGCAACAAAACGAAGATTAAATCACAGAAAACAAGAGAGAAATACGTACACAATATACACTTTGACGGCCATTTGTGAATGAGTCTTTAACAAGTCACTGAGTTCTCCTTTTTTTCCCTCTATCTGAGTCTGAGATTGAGATTTTCAACGATTGAAAATGAAGACGCTGGAGTCGTATTTATAGTTGCATATGAGAGAGATCAAAAAAGTTAATGACCAGATTAGTCGCTTAATTGGTGGTACCAAACGACTGCGTTTTAAATTTTTAGATTAAAATAAATGATTAATGATGATATGTTGTTGTCACGCTCATCATCATCATGGTCGTTGGAAACTAATCCTCTAGAAGAAGTTAATTTTAAGTCTTTATTTTATTTTTATATATAATTAATTAGTATTTGCTTATTTTAAGGAATAATTAATTTTTCCACAAAATTTGTATAAATAATTAAATACAGTCCAGATACAATGCTTATTTTTGGGTAAACGTCACTTTTTTTTTTTTTTTTTCAAGAATGTTTATAGTTTGCATAATTTCAGGGTTTTTAAAACATGTTACTTACTTGTCACAAATTGGATAAATTATGTAGAAAATTATAAAGGTTCAAATAATAATAATAATAATAATAATAATGATAATAATAATATTGATTTAGACCATCAAAATAAAAGTAAAAAATATTTTTTAATCAAGGCATATGAAAATTAAGATGGTAGCTATATAAATGTTATCTTAGGTTTAAAGAAAATGGGAAATATTTATTATTATACTTATTCAGGATTTTACTCCTAAATTAAATATCTTTTACTACAGGGAATATGAAAATAAAAATGTTAAACAGTTAATGTTATCTTAAGTTTAAAGGAACTAAGATATTTATTATGATTTTATCAATGATTTTACTCCTATATATAACGTAAAATATAGAAAAAAAAAATTCTTTCACAAATCTCTTATACAATATTTTAAAAACATTCAATTATGTAAATATAAATTTTCTTTAAAAGTTTAAATCGTAATTAAGTAAATTTTGATTTACACTAATATAGTTATGATTTTTTAAAATATTTATTTGAGTATTTTAAGCAAATGGAAAGTTGGAAACCGGTGATGGACGGCTCCGAAAGTGAAATGGAGCTTTGGGGAATTAATAAGTGGGCTGTATTGAATCTGAACCGTCAGAGGGTAGAGCTGGAGGGCGGTGAGGTTTTCGAGATTAACGGTTTTAGTGGGCCCAATTACGTGAGTTTACGTTATTCGGGTGGGTTTTGACTTTTCAAATATTCAAGTGTGGACAAGATTAGGTGACGTATCATAGGCTGCATGCTGACCAAACGACACGTAAGAAAATAATAAATCTAGATATGTATGAGTATGACTAGATTATTAGGTGAGTCATGCCAAATTAGCGACCTACATTAACGCTTAATCCGGTTTACCATTTATACCATTAATTAAACTGATTTTAGATTGAAGGCTTGGGTTTAAAGAAATATCTGTAGAAGGAAATGACTTGAACATGATCTTATATTTTAATTAGGATAAGATAAGAGTTGACATATTTTTCTCTCTACGGAAAACCAAATTTAGATTTGATTAAATTTAATCTTTAAATAAGAGATAATAACATTTATCAAGGAGTTGAAGCAATTAATGTAGAACAAGTGGTAATTTAATTGAAGTTAGAGAAATTAATTGGGTTTATTTATATGTCATAATCTAGATTTTTGAGTAAAGAAAATGCAATTCTCAATCATTCCATGATTGATAAGAGAAATGGTTCAATTTTCCAAAATTTATCATTTGATTATACCAAAGCAGTCAAGTTTTTTTCCATTTTGAATAAATCTTAAATTATTCCTTTTACACTACCCAAAAAAAATTCCTTTAAATAAACATTTTTTTTCTTGTATTATTTTCCTTAAGATTTTTTTTTTTAACATATATATTTTTGTTCCAGAAATAATGTAATTTTTAACTTGCGAATTACAATAATGTCATAAATCTGTTTGATTTGAACTCAATAAGAACACTGTTTTGATTTTGGTCCAATTAATTTGGCGAAAACGTGGAAGGCTGCAAAGCTCTAAATTATAATTACAAAAAAAAAAAAAAAAAAGGTGTCTAAATTTGGGTCAAAAGAATTGCAAGTCAGAGTCATCCAATTTTGTATATTAAGAGCTCGCATGGTCAATTTGATCAGCATGAAATTAAAATATCTCAAGTTGTGCCCGTCTGCGCTTCACATGTTCTTATAATAATATTAGAGTTTAATAAAGAGAAAATGACATTTTCTATTTTAATAAACTCTTTGTTAGAATATTATCTTGTTGAGCTCACCAAACGACAGCATTTCCAGTATGCGACGACGGCTGCAAAGGGATTCTTGTAAATTCAGTTCACATTACAAACGTAGACTTCAAATTTTGTGGATAAATGAATAATTCTCACACAAAATAAAAGTCCACAAAATTACAAAACCCTCACTTCATATGAAGATGACATCAAAATAATATAGAAAGATGACCGAGTCCAAGTAGTACGTAATATAGACGTCTGCTTTTATATGTAGATAACAATATAAGAAACTTTGTCATTCTTTTTTTTTTTTTTTTAATGATCGGGATGGTTGGATTAGTCTACGTGCATACAAGCCTAATGTTTTAAGGTTGATCCCCGACTAATCTTTGGGATCTATTGAATACCCTACAAACTTAATGTTATAGGTGACCCCAAGATGGTAGGTGATTCTAAAGTGGTTTAAACCCAAAAAGTCCATAAAATGAACAAACTTTCTTGACCGTCAGGCTAATTCCTTAGGTTATCATATATTTACTGGCTAAAAAAACTTATTTAAAACTATAAACACTTTTAAAATTATGTAAGAGTGTTTGATTGTATCTTAAAAGTGTTTATAAGATTTTAAATAAGTTATTTTACGATTTATACGAGAGAAACTATAAACTCTTTTTTTAGTTTATTTAAAACGTTTAAATTTTAAAAATATCCCGATTTTATTTTATTTCTTTGACTTAATTTATTCTTGTATGTTAAAACACTTTTTGGTAAATAAGTACTAAAAGCCCTTTTACATTTCCTTTCCAAACCATTAATCACAAAACCTCAACTCTAATAAACTTTTCTTTAATAAGTTCTATCGAAGAAGAAGTCATACCAAACAAACCTCAAAAACACTTTAATTTACATAATTTTTTTAATTTTTTTTTTAATTTTTAGGGTTTAAGGTTTACCATAAAGGTATGTAGACTTTACATGAAAAAGGGAGTGGTGTTTTCTTGAACAAGCAGGAACCTTAGCTCAATCCATCTGATATCTCACCATCATTCATGATCGATCATAATTTGTATAAGGGGTCCACGTACAAGTGCATGAAAATGGGAGATTGGAATTGGCTTTAGCTTCAAGAATATTGTATTTGTATGCAAGTTCGTTGTCAGCCTGTCTGCTTCCATAATGTTCTTTCAATCAATCAATCTTTCTAGTTGTTGCCTTCTTCTCAAAGTTATCTATACGTACGTACAATTTTGACTCTGTCTCCCCTACCATACCTAGCTCTCATTGATGTTTCCTGCATTCTCTCACCAACCCCATCTTATTTGTAAAGCTTGTTCTTCTGTTTTATGACAATACTGCACTTGTAACATACCCTTTTGCAATTTATTGAGTGGGGTCTGTAGAGTTACGATTATCACGTATTATCTTACTATCTTGTTTGGTGGGATTCGAATTTATCTCTTACGCACCTTAAATAGTGAGAATTCAGAGCGTGTCCCCCATATTCAAACTTGGATATTATTTTTTCAAATAAGCTCGATAAGGTAGGATAGAAGATATTACAAAAACAATATGTGATGATTGTAACTCTTTAAGCCTCACTCGACTAGGTGGTTAGTGGATGTTACAACAGATCCTTTCTAGCCACAACAAGTTCATACTTGCCTTATTATTTTCCTTGCCTTTAGTAAGCTTTATTTTTGGGTTACAATTATGTCGAGGTGTCAAATGAGTCATCAATTGAGTTTGATGGAATTTTTTCAGAACAAAATTGGGGTCAGGCTGTTGGGATAAAGTGGGTCTAATTCTAAGTATTGTTTAGTTTGGTGCCTAGTTTGAAAGCTATTAGTAACCTTTTGTCTTTGTGCTTTTAGTTGATGCAGTATTCTTGGTGAGAGATTGAATATTGATGAGCTAGGAAATAATCAATATCAATGTCAAATTATAGTTTCTTCTGTTAACTTCGATTGAGACCTATCATCAATAAACCTAAATTTTGGATAAGATTTGGCATAATAGTTGAGTTAGAGTCAGAATATGGTTGTGTCTTTTAATTTTAAACCTTATTCAAATTAAAGATACAAGATTAGTACTGCCTAAATGAGTCTGAGATTAACAAGATTATTTCATAGATCAAATCCAGAAAATACAGGAAGCTCCAGGATTATCCTCAATCAAAATGGACACAAGCTAAACTCCAACATTAATAGCATCCCATTTTACCCAGCAGTCATGATCTATTTCTCATTGCTAATTTGTGTAAATGAAATCACAATTTCTATGGTCTAGTATCAATTAGTTCAGCTGCATATATATGGTTAAAAATTAAAACTATCGAGCCTCTAACAATGAGATAGTGATTTCATTAGTTGAAGAAGATTCAGGCTTTCCTAAAGAAGAGTCTGGTCCCTGTGATTTCCTGTCCATCAAGAAGCCAGGTTGCTTTGGCTGAGGCAACTCGTTCTCACTACCAAGCATCACAACTACAGATGACATATTTGGCCTGTCCTCAGGATACTGTTGAACACATAAGAGACTAATGTGGATACATCTTATCGCTTCTGAAAGATTGCAGGATTGATCTCCCAATACTGAATCAATCAGTTCCAGTTGCTTGTCTTCGTTCCACAGTTTCCATGCCTAAAATATATCAAAACCCTTACTGTTAATATGCCAGAAATAACATAATTCCTGAACTTTTTGTTGAAAGTAAACTAATGCCTTTCGGATTTTACTTACATGTCCTATAAGGTTATGGTTGTCATCTGGATGATAAAACCCTCTATTTTTGCTTCCACTTACTATCTCTAGCATTAAAATGCCAAAGCTGAAGACATCAGATTTTACTGAGAAAAGTCCATCAGTGGCATATTCTGGAGCCATATATCCACTGTATAAGAATGTTAAGAGGGAAATTTTGTTAATTAATATAGAAGTGTAGTAGAGAACAATAAAATGACAGGGCAAGAGGATGCTTACTAAGTTCCAACAACTCTTTTTGTGTTTCCTTCTGTCTCATCTCCGCCAAAAGTTCTTGCCAAGCCAAAATCTGAAATTTTCGGATTCATCTCATGGTCAAGTAGTACATTACTTGCTTTCAGATCTCTATGTATAATCCTCAATCTGGAATCTTGATGAAGATAAAGAAGACCTCTAGCAATCCCGCAAATGATTTGAAAACGCTTGGACCAATCTAATACTGTGCTTTTTGTTTGATCTAGCAAGAATAATATTCAGGTCAGTGTGTTGTCATGCTTGAATTGTTAAAAAATCAACCTCAATTTTGCTAGAACAAATCCAAATGTCTCTAATAGAAATACGCTAAGCTAGCAGACCGAAAATAAAAGAGTCTAGGCTGTTGTTGGGCATGAATTCATATATCAGCATTTTCTCATCTCCTTCAATGCAGCACCCAAGAAGCTTTACAAGATTCCTATGTTGTAGTTTGGCAATCAGTATAACTTCATTCGTGAACTCGTTTAATCCTTGCCCAGAAATCTTCGAAAGCCTCTTGACAGCGATTTCTTGTCCATCTACAAGTGTACCCTGGAAAGATATTTTGTGAAATTAGTTACTGTGATCTTCAGTAAAATAGTAGTAATATGTTCTTATGATCAGTTCATATAGTTTTATGAGCTTACTTTGTATACAGGTCCAAAGCCACCTTCTCCAAGCTTGTTGTTGATTGAAAAGTTTTCAGTGGCATTAGAAATGGTATCTAATTCAAACAATGGTAGCTCCAAGTCATCTTTTGGATCATCCTGTCTATGACTGCTGCCCCTGTTGGTTTCTGTTTTCTCTGAAACAGTGAACATATTAACTGTAAATAATGAAACATTGTTCTCCATATGTAATGAGGACTCAGTATTCTGTAACATTGTTCTCTCTGTATTGAATATTCTAGATACATGACTAGGAATTTTACCAATTATCCATTTTGTAACGGATTTTAACGGAAATTATGTTAAAAATCAAAGCTATCCTGTTTCAAAAGACTGACTCAGAAGAAATTGTAGCATTCAATTCATTTTACAAAAAGTTCTTGCAAACAAATGAAGATATACTTAAGAAGGCAGACTGAGGAACATTACCTACTAAGTTTATCCTGTTTTTGTGTATGTAATAGCCAACGATAAGCAAAAGCACAGCAACCACAGCAACCGCAGCAATGGTAGTAAAAACTATTATCGGTATATTCTTATGCTCATCATTCGCCCCTTGACCATGACATCGGTGATATTGAAAAGAGAACATAGTCAAGTTATATAAAATGTATCATATTATCTTAATCTACACTCAAAATTAATTACAAGTAAGATGGTGAACTGATATCAGTAGACAAAATTAAGCCAGTACCTTTTTCTGAAGCAGACATTCGCATATATAAGTCCTGTCCACCAGCTGGAAACTGTTTCATGTCCATCAGATCACCAAACCACATAGTGCAGCCACTGCCTCCTCCACTAATATCTGAGTTAGTGTATGCCATACAAGAAGAGTTTTCTAAGCATTTCTCCCTGCATTCCTTGAGATTCATACTTCTGTTCACTGAAGAATGTGTAGCATCTGGCACTTTCAATCCATCAAACTTGATAAAACCATCTGCCTTAGAGTAGTTTAGTGGCTTATTGCGAATGCACCCTTGATACCAGTCCATGCTTTCCAATGATTTTGACTTGAATCCTTCTAAACATTGGCAAATTGGTAATGCACTGGGAATACAAATCCCATAAGAGCCACAAAGATTATAATTGTCACAGCGATCTCTAGGCACCGATGCATACAGTTTCCAACTTTGATTTTCTTCATTCCATACGAATCGTTCAAGAGCATTACTGGTTTCATTCATAACAATTCTTGAGATCGCTGATTTTTTTGTTGCATTGAACATGTAGTAAACCTCCTCCTCATTAGACACAAATTTGTACTTAAAAATTGGATTAAGCCTTAGCTCTGGCGATCCACTGAACCCAAGGCCATTCCATGGACCGCTCCTATAAAATTTTGTTGAACCCTTCCTCATAATTATTTCAGGATTTTCTTGTAGTTCAATTCCCCAAGTAAAGTCTCCTGGAGATGGGTCATCCGGGCTCCTCCAGGCTGATATACGCCGTTCAAAACCAGTTTTTAGGTCCCATCCGAGCTTCATTTCTGCTATCAATGTATCAGAAGGATAGTCAAAGCTTTGCCACAAATAAGTTCCTAAATTACCATCTTGTTCATCTCTTAGAACAAGATTTCCTGAATCCAGGAGCTGAACCACTGCTGAACTCGATACTTTTGTCAAGTTGGCTGACCAAACTATACTTGTGCTCTGGCTCATCAGAACAAGATTGCCGGTTCTGTTTATCATCAAAATTCCGGAAGAATCATTGATCGGATTGAGTCTATTTGCAACCCAGACAACTGTTTGAACTGGGATCTTCTTGTACCAAATTCCCAAGTACCGATTCTTAGAACTACCAGGACTGAAGAAACCAAGCTCAAATGTTTGATTTTTTGAAACTAAAGTCCTGCCCTCACTAAGAGACTGGGATGAACTAATGGTGTCAGTTGTTGCATAACATAATCCAGAGAAAAAGAGCAGAAGCTTAAAACTGATAAAAAATAAACAAAGAACATCCATTGGGGTCTAGACCTATTAGCTCTTTGCACCAATTTACCGATGAACACCATAAATAACAGTCCATCTAGAAGGGTATTGACTTAAAAGTTAATAATCTTGACTTACTTCTCAGAGTCGGAGAACTGCTTTAATTGTCGCAGAAAGAAGGAACCTTCACTAGTACAGACTGGTGGCTGAAAATTTAATAACTTTTTTGATATGTGAACTACATATGTAACACAAGTAAACCCCAAGTCCTGTGTTGTCCCAAGATGACGAAAAAGTTGGCGCACCATTACAAAATGAACTAGAATTTGATTGGTCGGCCGAGCTATGTGGCGGACTTTGCATTCACATGACCCCAAAAATTCAACACTGGAAAATGACATGCTTGACTTTATTGATTAACTATGCAAGCGTTTTTCTGATCACTGTAATTTTCACATTGAGTATAATTTTGCCGTCACCTTCAATTAAGGGAAATCAACCAAGGAGACTTGATATCTACAGTGTTCTACTTTGGGGAAACTTAATTTCTTCTTGGTTTCAGTTGAATTCATTTTATGTGCTAAAAAGGAGAGAACGGCTTTAGATATTAAATTAGCTAGAGAAGAGATTGTTAATGTATCCTTAATCTTACGTGTGTTTTAATTCTCATATGTGTATCCATTATTAAGAGACGTAATTTGGAGTGCTTTTAGCACTTTGGTGAACAGTGGAACAATAACCCACGTAGAATTATTGTCCTGTCAGATTTATGTGTCATTATAGTTAGTCATATTCAAGGATTGAGACCTATCATGTGCGACCAAGTACATTAATCCCAACATGTACATATACTTTCTGGTAGTAAATAGCAAAACCCTAAACCTAACGGCCCCGACGGTTGGAGGGGCCAATGAGTTAAGAACAAGAGGGGTTTTGGACGATAGACTATGAGAAAGGTGATGGAGGTGACCAGGTGGTTCAACGCCGTCGAAAACAACCTAGATCGGGCAAAAATCAAGAGAGTGCATAGTGGCCGAGGGTGTTATTGAAGTAATTTGAAAATAAGAAGGTTAATATAATTCTACTAATTTAGGGGTTAATACGTAATTTATTAATTTACTTGTTATGGGCATTATGGTAATTACATTATTTGTAACCTAAAAAATGTTAACAATGTTACTTTAAGGATGAGAATCTAGAATAAATGCAACTAGAAATACCAACTTGGGATTTCGCTAAACTTAGAGTGGGAATACGTTGGTTACTTTACATATTGACGATGAATTTCAATCCACATCTCTATCTCAATTCTCACACCAATATGATGATATTGGATATAGAACTGTACAAATGTCATGAGCTGGACACTTGTTAATTACTCAGAATACTAACATCTTACTAGGGGTGAGCGGTTCCAGGTACTCTACGTTTTTTGGGAATCGGTATCGAAATCTACAAGTTCCTAAGAAAAGGTATCGGAACCGAAACTTGAAATGCAGGTTCCAATTCCTTACCGGGGTACCTTGTGAAAAATCAGTTAACCCCTTATTAGTTTAAAAAGACAAACACACCTTACAATTTTACAAATACACCCCTGACAAATTAAGAAATCCTTAAAATTATAAATATATATATTTTACAAAGTATAGTTATGAAATTAATTTTGGGAATTAAATTTTAGTAAACTTTATTATCCAAAAATACAAATATTATATAATATTATAATTACTAGAGTGAAAATAAAGAAAAATTAACATTAATTGTGAATTTGTGACAAAGTAATAAAATTAAATATTAATATTAATATGATTTATGAACATTTAATTAAATAATTATAATGACTCTAATTTTAAGTTTGTTTAATGATTTCTTAATATATCGTGACTCATGAGGTATGAGTTGTTATATTATAATATACTAATAATTTAATTAAGTAATGTTATAATTTAATAAATTACTAATGTTTATAATATAATGTTATAATTAATTAAGTAATCATACTATAAATCTATAATATACTATTATAATTAATTAGATTTTTAATCATTTAATTAAGTGATGTACTAATGTGGTAAATTACTAATGTTTATAATGTAATGTTATAATTAATTAGCTAATCATTTAACTATAATGTAATATTATAATTAATTAAGTAATCATACTATAAATTTATAATGTAGTATTATAATTAATTAAATTTTTAATCATTTAATTAAATAATATACTAATGTAGTAAATTACTAATGTGTATAATGTAATGTTATAATTAATTAGCTAATCATACTATAAATCTATAATGTGATGTTATAATTAATTAAATTTCTAAACATTTAATTAATTAATGTACTAATGTTTATCAATTAATCATATATAATTAATTGATTACTAATTTACTATAGATATACCCAAAACTTGATAATTGAAGTAAATAACTAAATATTATTCAATCAAATATATTATTTTATTTAAAAAATAATTCTTTTAATAACATTGAAACACTTTTAATTGGATCATAATTCCAATTATAATTTATACACTTAATTAATCAAAATTTAATATTATGATATATTAAATATTTTTATATGTAAAAATTTTAATATATTAATTTAATTAGGTTATCATAATATATTAAAGTTTTTTATATGGTGAAGTATATATGTATAATTAATTGTATATATATTTGACTAAGTTATTGTTACACATAATTTTTTATATAACATTTCATTCCATTTGGCCATTTTAAAATTTTTATATGTAAACTTACAGACCCCCAATTCTTTACTGATATTTCATTTAAATCCAAGTTCCAATACAAGTTCCTACTCAGGTACCTGAATTTAGTTCCAAGACAAGTTCCATTCAAGGTACCCATTTTAGGTTCCCATCATAGGTTCCGGTTCGGACACATATAGGAACCAGAATCGGACCTGCACAGTAATGGTTCCAAAAAATTGGAACTGAAACTTATTTGCACAGTGTCGATTCTAGGTAGGTTTCGGTTCTACTTGCTAGTTCCAATTTTACCTGCTACCCATGCTTACCTCTACATCCCACCTTTAAAAATCCAATATTCAATCATTTTTTATATTTAATATGGGATTGTATCAGAAGGAATAAATAATGTGGAGTTGGACATATACAGTTAGAAAACTATTGAGCCTCCAAAAGTGAGATACTGATTTCATTCTTTGACGTTAATCCATAATCGGCTCGAGTAAATTCCTGTCCATCAAGAAACCAGGTTGTTTTGGCTGAGGCATTACATTATCACTACACTACTACAGTTGGCATGGTTGGCCTGTCTACGGGATACTGCTGCACACATAAGAGACTAATGTGGATGCATCTTATTATTTCTGAAATATTGCTTGATTCTCCCAACACTGAATCAATTAGTTCCAAAGGCTTGCCTCTTTTCTATAGTTTCCATGCCTAAAACATATAAAAAACCTTCTATCAATTATGATTCAGCATTCCAACTTTGATTAATGTTGACATAACTCCCTGCAATTTTAGTGAATGTAATTTAAAAATTTTCACTTACATATCTTGCAAGGTTGAGGCCATTCTGTTGATGATAGAACCCTCTATTTCTTACCCCAAGTTCTGTGTTGTCCCAAGATGACGAAAAAGTTGGTGCACCATTACAAAATGAACTAGAATATGATTGGTTGGCCGAGATATGTAGCGGTCTTTGCATTCACGTGACCCCAAAAATTCAACACTTGAAAATGACATGCTTGCAAACATGTAATTTTCACATTGAGTAAAGTTTTGGCCTCACCATCAATTCTAATACTTTTTAAAATAATATTTTGGAAAAAGTAAAATTGGATGGGTATTACGATGTAAGATTTAAAAATTAATAAAAGTATCCCTTATGTTTGTTTATTTACTAAATATCTCTATAATAAAATACTAAAAATTAACAAAAACACCCCCAACCCAACAAGTAAATACGGACAGCATGATCGGTTGGATCTAATTGGTAGTGCACCGATATGGCCTTTTCTGGCTAGTACGGCTAGATCTAGCCATTGACGGCCAGATATGGTTGCATTTGGTCATCAACGATGGCCATATCTTAGCCATCGTTGACGACTGGCTAGGGCCAAAGATCTAGCCTTTTCCGAAGCCGAGATTCAATCGGTAATGCGCCTTTATACTAAATATCTCTATAATAAAATACTAAAAATTAACAAAAACACCCCCAACCCAACAAGTAAATACAGACAGCACGATCGGTTGGATCTAATTGGTAGTGCACCGATATGGCCTTTTCTGGCTAGTACGGCTAGATCTAGCCATTGACGGCCAGATATGGTTGCATTTGGTCATCAACGATGGCCATATCTTAGTCATCGTTGACGACTGGCTAAGGCCAAAGATCTAGCCTTTTCCGAAGCCTAGATTCAATCGGTAGTGCGCCTTTATACTAGATTTCGGCCAGCTTCCGATGGTGGTGGCTGGAATCTAGCAAATGTGGGTTGCTGGGGTGTTTTTGTCAATTTCTAAATTTTTTGGGGGTGTTTAGTTAAATTAACAAATTTCGGGGGTTTAAAAAAATTGAATAATATGGAATAATATTTTGAGAATAAGAGAATAAATGTGTATTTTGGATAAAATAGGAAATAGAATACTGAAAAATTGTGTACCAAATAGACCCTAAATATCTATAGTGTTCTACTTTGGGGTAAACTTAATTTCTTCTTGGTTTCAATTGAATTCATTTTATGCGCTAAAAAGGAGAGAAGAGCTTTAGATATTAAATTAGCTAGAGTAAGAGATTGTTAATGCATCCATAATCTTACATGTGTTAGGTCAACTGAAATGTATCCATTATTAAGAGACATAATTTGGAGTGCTTTTATGGAGAATTATTATCCCTGTCAGATTTATGGGTAATTAGTGATTAATTTTCCTTTGGGTTTCTAGATAATGTTGAGGGAACTTATGTTCTGGGCACTATCAAAATTAGAAGGGTATTAACATTTCAAAAACTTTTAGGTCTAATTGACACTACATCGCATAGAGAAGTAATTATAAATATGCTGAACCACATGTTCCCACCCGTAACAATAATTTACGACCAATGTTTTGAAACCCAGACCGAACCGGCCGGTTGGACCAGTTCAACTGGGAACCGGCCACCTGTCCGGTCCAAGGTTTAATAAAAACTGGTAAAAGCATTTGACTCGGTTAAGACCAGATTTAGGCTGTATGAACAGTGACAAACCGCTGGTCCAACCGGATTGATCACAAAACTGGGTCACTTAAAAAACAAAAATCCCTAAATTTTTTTGTCTCTTCCTTCGTCATTCTTCGATCTTCTTCTTGATTCTTGCAACAGTGGCCACCACCCCGTCCTTCCACATATGACATTCTTACTTCTCCAAACCATTTTGTCTTACCCTCTCCTCCTCCAAAAACAACAGCAACAGCAATAGAAACAATAAACTCAATGACCACATTATCAACAAGCGTCTTAGTCAAAACCAAACTCAAACTATCACTTTCACCATCAAAATCAAAGCGTTCAACATCAAAATCACAACTTACAGCATCAAGAAGAATACCCACAAGCCAAATTGGTCTTATTCTTCTTCTTCATGTTCTCTTAGAGATGAGGCGGTGCATGTGATTCAAACACATTCCCGAGCCTTTCTTGTGTGTAGATCCAAAACCCTTAGACCTTTTCGCCCGTTTCCTTGATGGTGGATTTCAAACCATGTTAGCCATTTTTGTGTTTGCTAGTGATTAAAGAAACAAAAATGGGGTTTTGTTGAAAAAGCATGTTGTGGCTTAGCCAAAAGTGAAGAAAAGTAAGGGAGAGGGGAATGAGAAAGAAGGAAGAGGATGAAGTGAAGAAGTTAGAGAAGAAGAATAGAGGAAGGAAGAAGAAAGTTACAAAAGAGAGGGGAAACTGGAGAGTGATAGCAAAAAGAAGAAACTGACGAAGGGAAAGAGAGAAAGAAAAAAGTATATAAGCCGTAGGGGTGTTTTTGTTGGATTTCAAACTTGCAAAGACTGACGGGTAATTCTTTGGGGTATGTTTGTTGGGTTTCAAACCAGCGGTCAGACCGACTAGTCCAACCGGTCGGACCGGTCAACTCGGGAACCGGTTGCCTAACCGGGTCATTGGACGAGTCGGTTTTCAGAACATTGTTTACGACTCGACAAGTTTTAAAAAGACAATTACCCACATTCCTTGAATATCTGCCCTTTAAGTTTAACTAGGAGGATAAAATGGTAAATTCAAAAACAGTCAAGGGTAATTATATCACTGTACCCCTGTATTCCCATCTTCTTCTCATCTCCCCCTTCCATCTTCATCTTTTTCATCTCACCTTTTTTTCGGCGAATACCCCTCTTTTAGGCCTGTTTTTAATTGATTTGCACATCCGAAATTCATCCTTCCACCACCACCAGAACCCCCTCCACCCCTTCTTCTAAACCCACCATTCAATTGGCTTTCCCCACCCCCCGTCTGTCATCCACCGGTCATTTTTGGATTGCCCATCGCCTGTTCGTACAATTCCCCAGCTAACCTGCCCATCTCCGGCCACCAAAATGCAACCTATCAATACCAAACGACTCATCGGATGCTCCTCTTCATAACCCCCATCAGTTTGGCCCGAGCTTGTCCATCGTTTTTGCTAGCGACTCCATCTTCGGTTTGTGCAACTTTGAAGTTGGGGTTGTTTTGATTGGAGCTTTTGAGGACTTGATTGGGGGTAATTGCTTGTTCGTTTGGAGTCGGCTTGTTGGTAGTCTGTTGTGGTTTTGTACTTTTGTTTTCCAGTTGACTCCTATCGCCGGTGGTCGGTTTCCCCTGGGTTTTGCAAAACGCCCATCAAGTTTTTGTAAAAAGGCCCCAGAGAGCCTTCTGCGCGCGCTTTGCGCTTGTATTTGAATTTGAATTTTTTTCTTCTTAGTTTTTTATTCTTTGATGATTGATTGATAATTTCGTGATGTCTGATTAAATTGTCTAATGGATTATTGATTTGGGGTGGAAGTGTTTTAAATTTATGGTGGTTTGTGGTAGTGTTGATAGCTGTATTTGGTGGTTCTAGTGGTGGGTTTGGAGTTGGTGGAGGTCTCGACGGCGGAATCGATTCATGGGATTTGGATTCAAAGAGGGAGGGTATTTTTGTCTTTACATTGACTATCAATCTCACATAACAGAATTTACTAACAGATATTAATGGAAGATAGGTAATTGTCGTTTTGAAACTTTTTGGATACTAAATTTTCGTTAGAGAAAACTTCGGGTGAGACCATGTCGTTTACCCTTATAAATGTCCACAAATTGTAGTTAGTCATATGCAAGGATTGAGGCCTATCACGTGCGAGCAAGCACATTAATCTCTACATGTACATATGCTTTTTGGCAGTAAATAGCAAAACCCTAAACCTAACAACGCCAGCAATTGGAGGGGCCAATAAGCTAGGAACCAAAGGGGTTTTGAACGATGGACTATGGGGAAGGTGATGGAGTTGACCAGGTGGTCCAACGTCGTCGGAAACAACCCAGATTGGGCAAAAACTGAGATGGTGCACAGTGGTTGAGGGTGTTATTGAAGTAATTTAAAAATAAGATGGTTAATTATAATTCTACTAATCTAGGGGTTAATAAGTAATTTATTAATTTACTTGTTATGAGTATTATGGTAATTGCATTACCTGTAACTTAAAAAATGTTAACAGTGTTACTTTAAGGGTGAAAATCTAGAATAAATACAACTCAGGATATCAAATTGGGATTCCGCCAAACTTCGGGTGGGAATACGTTGTTTACTCAACATATTGACGATGAATTTCAATCCACATCAATCTTCTATCTCAATTCTCACACCGATATGATGATATTGGATATAGAACTGCGTAAGTGTCATGGGCTGGACATTTGTTAATTACTCAAAATACTAGCATCCCACCTTTAAATATCCATGATTCAATCATTTTTTTTTTTTAATTTACTATGGGATTGTATCACAAGGAATAAATAATGTGGACTTCAACATATACAGTTACAAAATTATCGAGCCTCCAAAAGTGAGATACTGATTTCATTCTTTGACATTAATCCATAATTGTTTGATGAAAGGCCTGGCTCAAGTAAATTCCTGTCCATCAAGAAATCAGGTTGTTTTGGTTGAGGCAATATACTATCACTACCAAGCATCACTACTACAGTTGACATGGTTGGCCTGTCCACCGGATACTGTTGCACACATAAGAGACTAATGTGGATGCATCTTGTTACTTCTGAAATATTGCATGATTCTCCCAACACTGAATCAATCAGTTCCAATGGCTTGCCTTCATTCCATAGTTTCCATGCCTAAAACATATAAAAAACCCTTCTGTCAATTATGATTCAACATTCCAAATTTGATCAAATTGACACAATTCTCTGCAATTTTAGTGAATGTAATTAAAAGTTTTTTCACTTACATCCTGTGAGGTTGAGGCCACTCTCTAGATGATAGAACCCTCTATTCCTCACCCCAATTAAGATCTCTAACAATAAAATGCCGAAGCTAAACACGTCAGATTTAACAGAGAACAGTCCCTCACTAGCATATTCTGGTGCCATGTAACCACTGTGGAAGAAATTTACAAAAAAAGGTTGTTTCATTAATGAGAGAAAGTGAAGTACAAAGATGTGTCAAGACAATATATACTTACTAAGTTCCAGCCAGTCTTTTTGTGTTCCCTTCAGTTTGATCTCCACCAAAAGTTTTGGCCAAACCAAAGTCTGAAATTTTTGGGTTCATTTCATGATCAAGTAATACATTACTTGCTTTGAGATCTCTATGTATAATCCTCAGTCTAGAATCTTGATGAAGATAGAGAAGACCCCTTGCAATCCCACATATAATGTTGAAACGCTTCGACCAGTCCAATAGCTCACTTCTTGATTGATCTGGCAGGCATAAAATTCAAATTAACATATGTCTATAATAGAGATACAGTAAGTCAGATGAAATTCATAAGGTTACCAAAGATGAAGTAGTCCAAGCTCTTGTTGGGCATTAATTCATAAATCAACAATTTCTCGTTCGCTTCAATGCAGCAACCAAGAAGCTTTACAAGATTTCGATGCTGTAGATTCGCAATCAGTGAAACTTCATTCTTTAACTCATTTAATCCTTGCCTAGAAATATTTGAGAGCCTCTTCACAGCAATTTCTTGCCCATCCGCTAGTGTGCCCTGGAAAAAAGTAAATGTGAAATAAGTTATGGTGTTCTGAGTAAAATAATTCCTCCTCTCATATGTTCATTTCACTAGCACGTTTCAGTGTTTTACTTGGTATACAGCTCCAAAGCCACCTTCTCCAAGCTTGTTGGATAATGAAAAGTTATTGGTGGCTTTCGTAATTATAGCTAACTCGAACATTGGTAGCTCTAAGTCTTCTCTTTCTTGATGCATTTCCATGTTGTTTTCTGTTTTCTCCAAAGTAGTGCACATTATCAGATATCAATAGCATTCAGAAGTTAAGTTTCCTAAGCTGTTCCTACCATAAACTTATGGCTATGTTTAAAAGATTTTGTTCAAAACTGGATGGTGAAAGATTAGGCCAACTCTAAAAGAACAAAGAAATGCAATAAGTGTAAGGAGAGCAACCAAAAACTCAGAGAGCTTAACAATGGAGGAAAGTTGAATATTCCATTTTAGTGTATATTTTCTTGCTATACAAGGGAGAAGAACGAGAATATATACAGAGACTCTGCAACAAACTTGTAACAAATTAACAAAACCCAGCCTATCATATTGTGCCAGCTAGTAGACATGTGCTAAAATGAATGAAAGAATAACAAAAAGTATATACAACAACAAAAAATTAAAAACTGATTACAAAACTTGGCCTGTATCTGTTAACATCCCCCCGCAAGATGGAGAATAGAAATTTACTATTCCCATCTTGGACAAGTGTGCTTGAAGAAGGTAGGATGGAAGAGCTTTGGTGAATGTATCAGCCAACTATGCTTGAGAGGAAACAAGAGCTGTTGTGAGACTTCCTTCCTGAATTTTATCGCGGATCGAGTGACAATCAAACTCTATGTGCTTGGTTCACTCATGAAATAACGGATTGACAGCTATGTGAAGGGCTGTCTGGTTGTCACAGTAGAGAATGGCGGCCTGCGGATGAGAAATGTCAAGATCATGGAGAAGGTATCGAAGCCAAATAAGTTTTGAACAAGTAGTGGCCATAGAGCGATACTCGGCTTCAACAGATGATTTGGAAACAACCGTTTGCTTCTTAGACTTCCAGGAAATAAGCAATTAACCTAAGAAAACACAATATCCTATTGTATACCGACGGGAATCCAGGCAAAAGGCCCAATTCGAATCATCAAAAGCTGTAAGTTGAAGCTGAGATGAGGATGGCAGCAACAGACCTTGAGCAGGTGCAGTTTTAATATATCGCAAGATACGGTAGGTTGTTGCTAAGTGGGAGGAAGAAGGTTGATCCATAAATTGGCTTAATAATTGGACAACAAAGCAAATATCTGGGCGGGTTATTGTGAGGTACAATAACCTATCAATTAAACTTCGAAAGATACTTGGATCAGAAAGTGTAGTCCTTTTAGATTTGCTGATTTTGAAATGTTGATCCATAGAAGTCTAAGGGGTTTGCATCCAAGCATACTCGAATTTGCCAAAATGTCTAAGGCATATTTCCTTTGACATATATAAATACCTTTGGAAGATCTAGCAATTTCCTAGCCCAAGAAATAACAGAGACAACCAAGATCTTTATTCTTGAATTTGCTATTCAAAAAATTCCGTAGAGAAGCAATGAAGTCATTGGAATTGTTAGCAACCAAAAAATCATCACATATATGAGTAAAGCAGTAAAATTGTCCCCTTCATGCTTGGTGAATAAGCTATAATCAGACTTTGATTGGATGAAGCCAAAAGCAATAAGAGAAGAGGTGAGTTTAAAGTTCCATTGTCTTAAAGCTTGCTTTAGGTCATAAAGGCTTTTAAGCAATTTGCAAACTTAAGTTGGTTTACCTTTGGTGTAACCTGGGGGTTTCTTCATGTAAATTTCTTCATGTAAATCACCATTAAGAAATGCATTATTTACATCAAATTGATGTAAATACCATCCTTTGATGGCAGCAACACTAAGAAGGCATCTAACAGTGACAAGTTTAGCAACGGGTGATAAAGTTTCAGTATAATCTATGCCTTCTTGTTGGGTGTAGCCTTTAGCTACAAGTCTAGCCTTAAGTCTTTCAACAGAACCATCAGACTTAAATTGAATGCGATAGACATACTTACAATTGATTGCTTCTTTTCCTTTATACAATTGATTGCTTCTTTTCCTTTAGGCAAATCAGTGATGGTCCAAGTATGGTTGTTTTCCAAAGCTTCAATTTCAGCATCCATAGCTTTGCACCACTCAAGATCTTTAATTGCTTGTTTATATGAGGTGGGCTCGGTTTGAATGGAAATGGATGGTGAAAATGCTTGAAAAGAGGAATTAAAATGCTTGTAAGATAAGCAGTCAGAGAGAGAAAAAATATTTACCATTTAATTGAGGAGCTGCAGTGGAAGCTAATCGGTGAGGTGAGACAAGCCTAACTTGTTTGTAATGGAAGTCCTTCAGATATTGAGGAGCAGTCTTGTTCCGGGTAGACCTGCGAAGTGTAAGGGCAACAGGAAGAGGAATGATGGAATTAGATGGTGGAGAAGTGGGAGAAGGGGAGGATGTATTAGGGCAATTAGCAGAAACAACAGGAGGGTCAAAGGATGAAGGAGAAGGAGATATAGGATTTAGAAAAGTAGAAGAAGGTGCAAACGAAAGAGAGAAAATAGGGAGAGATGGGGCTGTGGAAGAAGGAGAGAGAGGTGTTTGAAAAGGAAAAAAAAAAAAAAAATCTTGAAAAATAACACCCTTGAAATGAAAATGGTATTAGTTTTGAGATCCAAAAGCTTGTAGCCTTTAGTTCCAAAAGGGTAGCTAAGAAATGCACATGCACAACCTCTAGGGTCAAATTTTGTTCTATTATGAGCAACTGTGGCGGCAAAGCAAAGGGAACCAAATATTCTCATGTGAGCATACTCGGGTTTTTTTATTAAAAAGGAGTTCATAAGATGTTCTGTTGTTAAGAAGTGGTGATGGAAGCCCATTGATGATATATGTGGCTGTAATGATGGATTCATTCCGGTAAGTTAAGGGAAGACCCGCTTGAAAAAGAAGGAAACGAGCCACATTTAGTAAGTGTTGGTGCTTCCTCTCAACAATGCCATTTTGTTGAGGGGTTGCAACACAACTTTTGTGATGGATAATGTCTTTTTGACTAAAAAATTCATGCATGTGAAATTCAACACCATTATCACTTCTCATAATTTTAATTTTCATTTGGAATTGTGTCTCAACAAGATTGTAAAAGGCTGTAATGCATTGTCTGGTTTCGGATTTGGCAGCAAGCAAGTAAATCTAGGTAGTTATAGAAAAGTCATCAACAATGGTTAAGAAGTATTTTGAGCCATCATGTGCAATTGTGGAGCAAGGATCCCATAGGTCACAATGAATGAGCTCAAAGATTCTTGATGAAGAATGTGAACTGTTAGGAAAAGATAAACGATGAAACTTTGCTAATAGGCAAATTTTGCAAGACTTTTCATTAATAGATGAAACTCCCTTATGTACAAGAGGATCTGAAATTATCTGTAACCTAGGAAATGATAAATGGCCTAGGCAACAATGCCGTAGGTTAGTATTTGAGACAGAGTTTGTAAGGGAAGAAAAACAAGAAAACTTGGTATGGCTGCTGTATGAGTGTGTCGAGAGAAAAGTAGACAAGGCTGAGGGAAGAACTTCCTTGCAAATGAAATGGTACAAGCCATGCTTGTGCTCACCCTTTCCAATCGTTATCCATGAATGCAGGTCCTGAATAAAACAGTGAGTGGAAAAGAAGAGCAAACAAAAATTAAGAGTAGAGGTTAGTTTGTTTGATAAAATAAGGTTGAAAGAAAAGGATGGCACGCAGAGGACATCATGCAAAATGATGGAATTAGTTAAGTGAATTGTTCCAATATGTGTGACAGGGGCGGAATGACTATTGGGTAGTTTCACAAAATAAGAAACAGTAGATGTAATAGTGGTGAAAAATGTGTGGTCTGTAGCGCCTGTGTCAAGGATCCAAGCAATAGATGATGTATGTGTTGAATAGTATGTGTGAGTAGATAAAGAGGTGGAAGTACCAGACATTTGGGAAGATGATACTGGGTGAAGAAAGGTTTGAGGTGGGTTCCTGAAGTGGATAGCGGAAGCCGCAATGGGTAAATCCTGAGGTCTGAGCAAGGCCATCAGTTACTGATATTGTTGCTTGGTGAAACCAAACTTGGCATCATTGTTGTCTTCAGAGTCATTGGTAAATGAAAATGATGTCTGATTTGCAAGGAAACCAAATTGTTGCTGCTGCTGCTTGGCCTGATATTTGTGACCAGGTGGATATCCATTGAGTTTGTAGCATTTCTCAATGGTATGGCCAGTCATGTTGCAATGTGAGCAAAGAGGGGGCTTAGCATTGCCAACTTTGAAACAAGTATCGAAAGTGTGACCAGTTATTTTACAGTGGCTGCAATAGGGACGGTCCTTTTTGGGAGAGTGGTTTGGTTTAGGTGAGGGTTTGGAAAGGGTGTAGGGTTGCTGGATTGCCATGGCCATAGTTTCGGGGGATGGAGTGGAGGAGGTCATTTGATGGTGTCTTTCTTGCTATTGGATGAGGGAAAACACTTTGGAGACAGGTGGGATGGGATCTAAAATCATAATCTGGTCTCGGATGGAGGAGTAAAAGTCATTGAGACCCATCAAAAATTGCAGCACACAATCTCTTTGATATCGATCCAGTAAGGTTTTCATAGTACCACAATTGCAAGAAGGTATGGGATCATACACAGAAAGTTTATCCTAAATAGCTTTTAACTTGCCATAGTAAATGCTTACCAGATCATGTTAATGAAGCAGAGCAGCCAACGCCTTCTTAAGTTGGTAAATACGAGGTCCATTTTGATGCGAAAATCGTGATTGAAGATCCGACCAGATTTCTCGAGCATCATCAACAAAGAGAACGCTGGATTGGAGAAAAGAGCTGATAGAGTTGTGGAGCCAAGAAACGACCATGTCATTACAGCGCTCCTAAAGCTCAAGCAATGGATCGTTGGGTTTAGATGGTTTGGTGATGGATCCAGTGATAAAACCCAGTTTATTTTTTGCACGGAGTGCACGACGCATTGAGCGAGACCAGGTGGCGTAGTTGTCGGTGGTGAGGAGATTGGCAACAAGGGTAAGGGCTGGATTGTCACCATGGTCAAGCCGATAGAGGTTCGCCGGATCAAGGAGATTAAGGTATGGAGATGGGGTTTTTGATTCTAGGTCAAAGTGAGAATCAGAATCAGAGGTTGCCATTGAAGATGCTCTCGCTGACTCTGATACCATGTAAGGAGAGCAACCAAAAACTCAGAGAGCTTAACAATGGAGGAAAGTTGAATATTCCATTTCAGTGTACAGTTTCTTGCTATACAGGGGAGAAGAACGAGAATATATACTGAGACTCTGTAAGAAACTTGTAACAAATTAACAAACCCAACCTATCATATTGTGCCAGCTGGTAGACATGTGCTAAAATGAATGAAAGAATAACAAAAATTATATACAACGAAAAAGTAAAAACTGATTGCAAAACTTGGCTTGTATCTGTTAACAATAAGTTTGGAAACAAACAGAATGACATTACCTTCTGTATTCGTCCTTCTTTTGTGAATGTTCCTTTTGTAAATGCAGTAGCTCACTATAAGTACTCCGGCAACCACATCAACGGCAATAGAGGTTATCACCAGTATCTTCATCTTAGGATTATCTTCTTTCTCTTGATTTACCATTAAAATATAGAATACAAAACAGTTAGTAAAAATATGCATGCATAGAAGGCAGCAAGATGACTGCATACACCAACTTCAGTCTATACAGGATCACTTATTAAGGAGTAAAATAGACAAGATAAAGCCAACGATAAGCGAAAGCACAGCAACCACAGCAACCGCAGCAATGGTAGTAAAAACTATTATCTGTATATTCTTATGCTCATCATTCGCCCCTTGACCATGACATTGGTGATATTGAAAAGAGAACATAGTCAAGTTATATAAAATGTATCATATTATCTTAATCTACACTCAAAATTAATCACAAGTAAGATGGTGAACTGATATCAGTAAACAAAATTAAGCCAGTACCTTTTTCTGAAGCAGACATTCGGATATATAAGTCCTGTCCACCAGCTGGAAACTGTTTCATGTCCATCAGATCACCAAACCACATAGTGCAGCCACTGCCTCCTCCACTAATATCTGAGTTAGTGTATGCCATACAAGAAGAGTTTTCTAAGCATTTCTCCCTGCATTCCTTGAGATTCATACTTCTGTTCACTGAAGAATGTGTAGCATCTGGCACTTTCAATCCATCAAACTTGATAAAACCATCTACCTTAGAGTAGTTTAGTGGCTTATTGCGTATGCATCCTTGAGACCAGTCCATGCTGTCCAATGATTTTGACTTGAATCCTTCTAAACATTGGCAAATTGGTGATGCACTAAGAATACAAATCCCATAAGAGCCACAAAGATCATAATTGTCACAGCGATCTCTAGGCACCGATGCATACAGTTTCCAACTTTGATTTTCTTCATTCCATACGAATCGTTCACGAGCATTACTGGTTTCATTCATAACAATTCTTGAGATCGCTGATTTTTTTGTTGCATTGAACATGTAGTAAACCTCCTCCTCATTAGACACAAATTTGTACTTAAAAATTGGATTAGGCCTTAACTCTGGCGCTCCACTGAACCCAAGGCCATTCCATGGACCGCTCCTATAAAATTTTGTTGAACCCTTCCTCATAATTATTTCAGGATTTTCTTGTAGTTCAATTCCCCAAGTAAAGTCTCCTGGAGATGGGTCATCCGGGCTCCTCCAGGCTGATATACGCCGTTCAAAACCAGTTTTTAGGTCCCATTCTAGCTTCATTTCTGCTATCAATGTATCAGAAGGATAGTCAAAGCTTTGCCACAAATAAGTTCCTAAATTACCATCTTGTTCATCTCTTAGAACAAGATTTCCTGAATCCAGGAGCTGAACCACTGCTGAACTCGATACTTTTGTCAAGTTGGCTGACCAAACTATACTTGTGCTCTGGCTCATCAGAACAAGATTGCCGGTTCTGTTTATCATCAACATTCCGGAAGAATCATTGATCGGATTGAGTCTATTTGCAACCCAGACAACTGTTTGAACTGGGATCTTCTTGTACCAAATTCCCAAGTACCGATTCTTAGAACTACCAGGACTGAAGAAACCAAGCTCAAATGTTTGATCTTTTGAAACTAAAGTCCTGCCCTCACTAAGAGACTGGGATGAACTAATGGTGTCAGTTGTTGCATAACATAATCCAGAGAAAAAGAGCAGAAGCTTAAAACTAATAAAAAATAAACAAAGAACATCCATTGGGGTCTAGACCTATTAGCTCTTTGCACCAATTTACGGGTGAACACCATAAATGACTGTCCATCTAGAAGGGTATTGGCTTAAAAGTTGATAATCTTGACTTACATTTCAGAGTAAGAGAACTGCTTTTAATTGTTGCAGAATGAAGGAATCTTCACTAGTACGGACTGGTAGCTGAAAATTTAGTAACTTTGATGATATGTAAAATAAATATCTAACATAAGGAAACCCCAAGTCCTGTGTTGGCCCAAGACGACGAAAAAGTTGGCGCACCATTACACAATGAACTAGAATTTGATTGGTTGGCCGAGCTCTGTGGCGGACTTTGCATTCACATGACCCCTAAAATTCAACACTGGAAAATGACATGCTTGACTTCATTGATTAACTATGGAAACATGTTTCTCTCTGTAATTTTCACATCGAGTAAAGTTTTGGCGTCACCATCAATCAAGGGAAATCTACCAAGGAGACTAAATATCTACACTGTTCTACTTTGGGGTAAACTTAATTGCTTCTTGCTTTCAGTTGAATTCATTTTATGCGCTAAAAAGGAGAGAAGAGCTTTAGATATTAAATTAGCTAGAGTAAGAAAATTGTTAATGCATCCATAACCTTATATGTGTTTTGACTCTTTAATGTGTTAGGTCAATTGAAATGTATCCATTATTAAGAGACGTAATTTGGAGTGCTTTTACGGAGAATTATTATTTCTGTTAGATTTATGGGTAATTAGTGATTAATTTTCCTTTGGGTTTCCAAATAACTTTGAGGGAACTTTCATTCTGGACACTATCAAAATTAGAAGGGTATTAACATTTCAAATACTTTTAGGTCTAATTGACACTAGATCTCTTTGAGAAGTAATTATAAATATGGTTGAACCACATGTTCCCACCCGTAATAATAATTTACAACCCAACAAGTTTTAAAAAGACAATTACCAACATTCCGTTAATATCTACCATAAATTTAACTAGGAGGATAAAATGGTAAATTCAAAAACAGTCAAGAGTAATTATATCACTTTACCCCTGTATTCCCATCATCTTCTCATCTCCCCCTCCCTTTTTCATCTCACTTTTTTCCGGCGAATACCCCTCTTTTAGGCTTGTTTTCGGTTGATTGGCACATTGGAAATTCACCCTTCCACCACCACTGGAACCCCTTCACCCCTTCTTCTAAACCCACCATTCAATCGGCTTTCCCCACTCCCCCTTTGTCGTCCACCGATTGTTTTTGAACTGCCCACCACCTGTTCGTAAAATTCCCCAGCCAACCTGCCCATCTCCGACCACCAAAATGCAACCTATCAATACCAAACGACTCATCGGATGCTCCTCTTCATAACCTACATCAGTTTGGCCCGAGCTTGTCCATCGTTTTTCCCAGCGACTCCCTCTTGGGTTTGTGCGACTTTGAAGTTGGGGTTGTTTTGATTGGAGCTATTGAGGACTTGATTGGGGGTAATTGCTTGTTTGTTTGGAGTCGGGCTTGTTGGTAGTCTGTTGTTGTTTTGTACTTTTGTTTTTCGGCCGACTCCTAGCGCCGGCGGTCGATTTCCCTTGGTTTTTGCAAAACGCCCACCAAGTGTTCGTAAAAAGGCCCCAGAGAGCCTTCTGCGCGCTCTTAGCGCCTGTATTTGAATTTTTTTCTTCTCAGTTTTTTATTCTTTGATGATTGATTGATAATACACATTTCGTGATGTGTGATTAAATTGTTTAATGGATTATTGATTTGGGTTGGAAGTGTTCGAAATTTGTGGTGGTTTGTGGCAGTGTTGATGGCTGTATTTGGTGGTTCTAGTGGTGGGTTTGGAGTTGGTGGAGGTCCAGGCGACGGAATGATTAATGGGATTTGGATTCAAAGAGGGAAGGTATTTTTGTCTTTACATTGACTATCAATCTCACATAACAGAATTTTCTAACAGATATTAATGGAAGGTAACTGTCGTTTTGAAACTTTTCGGATGCTGAATTGTGTTAGAGCAAACTGGAGCATGTCGTTTGCCCTTATAAATTTCCACAAATTGTAGTTAGTCATATTCAAGGATTGAGACCTTATCATGTGCGAGCAAGTACATTAATCTCTACATATACATATACTTTCTGGCAATAAATAGCAAAACCCTAAACCTAACAGTGTTGGCGATCGGAGGGGCCAATGAGTCAAGTCAGAGGGGTTTTGGATAATGGACTATAGGGAAGGTGATGGAAGTGTCAGGTGGTTCAATGTCGTCGAAAACAAACCAAATCGGGAAAAAATCGAGAGGATGCACAGTGATCAAGGGTGTTATTAAAGTAATCTGAAAATAAGATGGTTAATTATAATTCTACTAATTTAGGGGTTAACAAGTAATTTACTAATTTACTTGTTGTGGGTATTATGGTAATTGCATTATCTGTAACTTAAAAAATGTTAACAATGCTATTTTAAGGATGGAAATCTAGAATAAATGCAACCAAGGATGGTAATTTAGGATTTAGCCAAACTTCTGGTGGGAATACGTTGTTTACTCTACATATTGACGATGAATTTCAATCCACGTTAATCTTCTATCTCAATTCTCACACCGATATGATGATATTGGATATAGAACTATGCAACCGCCATGGGTTGGACATTTGTTAATTACTCAAAATACTAGCATCCCACCTTGAAAAATCCAGGATTCAATCATTTTTTTTTAATTTAATATGGGATTGTATCACAACGAATAAATAATGTGGACTTGGACATATACAGTAACAAAATTATCGAGCCTCCAAAAGTGAGATACTGATTTCATTCTTTGACATTAATCCATAATCACTTGATGAAAGGCCTGGCTCAAGTAAATTCCTGTCCATCAAGAAACCAGGTTGTTTTGGCTGGGGCAATATACTATCACTACCAAGCATCACCACTACAGTTGACATGGTTGGCCTATCCACCGGATATTGTTGCACACATAAGAGACTAATGTGGATGCATCTTATTACTTCTGAAATATTGCATGATTCTCCCAACACTGAATCAATCAGTTCCATTGGCTTGCCTTCATTCCATAGTTTCCATGCCTAAAACATATAAAAACCCTTCTATCAATTATGATTCGGCATTCCAAATTTGATCAAAAGTTGACATAATTCTCTGCAATTTTAGTGAATGTAATTAAAAAAATTTTCACTTACATATCCTGTGAGGTTGAGGCCACTCTTTGGATGATAGAACCCTCTATTTCTCACCCCAATTAAGATCTCCAACAATAAAATGCCGAAGCTAAACACATCAGATTTAACAGAGAACAGTCCCTCACTAGCGTATTCTGGTGCCATGTAACCACTGTGAAAGAAATTTACAAAAAAGGGTTGTTTCATTAATGAGTGAAAGTGAACTACAAAGATGTGTCAAGACAATATATACTTACTAAGTTCCAGCCAGTCTTTTTGTGTTCCCTTCAGTTTGATCTCCACCAAAAGTTTTGGCCAAACCAAAATCTGAAATTTTTGGGTTCATTTCATGATCAAGTAATACATTACTTGCTTTGAGATCTCTATGTATAATCCTCAGTCTAGAGTCTTGATGAAGATAGAGAAGACCCCTTGCAATCCCACATATAATGTTGAAACGCTTCGACCAGTCCAATAGCTTACTTCTTGATTGATCTGGCATGTATAAAATTCAAATTAAGATATGTCTATAATAGAGATACAGTAAGTCAGATGAAATTGACAAGGTTACCAAAGATGAAGTAGTCCAGGCTCTTGTTGGGCATTAATTCATAAATCAACAATTTCTCTTCCGCTTCAATGCAGCAACCAAGAAGCTTTACAAGATTTCGGTGCTGTAGATTCGCAATCAGTAAAACTTCATTCTTTAACTCATTTAATCCTTGCCCAGAAATATTTGAGAGCCTCTTCACAGCAATTTCTTTCCCATCCGCTAGTGTGCCCTGGAAAAAAGTAAATGTGAAATAAGTTACAGTGTTCTGAGTAAAATAATTCCTCTTCTCATGTGTTCAATTCACCATCATGTTTCAGTGTTTTACTTGGTATACAGCTCCAAAGCCACCTTCTCCAAGCTTGTTGGATAATGAAAAGTTATTGGTGGCTTTCGCAATTGTAGCTAACTCCAACATTGGTAGCTCTAAGTCTTCTCTTTCCTGATGCATTTCCATGTTGTTTTCTGTTTTCTCCAAAGTAGTGCACATTATCAGATATCAATAGCATTCAGAAGTCAAAGTTTCCTAAGCTGTTCCCAGCATAAACTTATGGCTATGTTTGGAAGATTTTATTCAAAACTGGATGGAGAAAGATTAGGCCAACAATAAAAGTACAAACAAATGCAATAAGTTTGGAAACAAACAAAATGACATTACCTACTGTATTCGTCCTTCTTTTGTGAATGCGCCTTTTGTAAATGCAGTAGCTCACTATAAGTACTCCGGCAACCACAGCAACGGCAATAGAGGTTATCACCAGTATCTTCATCTTAGGATTATCTTCTGTCTCTTGATCGACCATTAAAATATAGAATACAAAGCAGTTAGTAAAAATATGCATGCATAGAAGGCAGCAAGAAATTGCTCTTTGTCATGACTGCATACACCAACTTTAGTCTATACAGGATCACTTATTAAGGATTAACATAGACAAAATAAAGCCAATACCTAGTTCTGAAGCAGACATTCGTATATGTAAGTCCTGACCACCATCTTGTATGTGTCTGATATCAATCAGATCACCAAACCACATGGCACAGCCGCTGCCTGCCCCTCTAATATCGGAGTTAGTATATGCCATACAAGTAGAGTTCCCTAAACATTTCTCCCTGCATTCGTTGAGATTCATAGTTTTGTTCACCCAAGAATGTGCAGCATCTGGCAGCTTCAGCCCAACAAATTTGACAAAACCATCTTGGTTTGAGTAGTTTAATGGTATGTTACGCACACACCCTTGCCAGTCCAAATTTTCTCCTGATTTAGGCTTAAACCCTTTCAAACATTGGCAAATTGGTGTCTTACTAGTGATACAGTACCCATAGGCACCACAAGTACCATAATTGTCACAGTAATCTCTTGGTACATATGAATACACCTTCCAACTTTGAGTTTCTTCACTCCAAGCAGGTCGCTGGCGTTCATAGTCGGTTTGGTTTAAAACAACCCTTGTGATTAGTGATTTATCAGTAGCGCTGAATGAGTAGTACAACTCTTCCTCATTAGATACCATGTTGAATTGGAAATCTGGATTAGAAGTCATTGCTTCTGCACCACTGAATCCAAGACCATTCCAAGGGCCACTCCTATAAAACTTTTCTGATCCCTTATACATAACTGGCTCAGGATAACCTTGTAGGTCCATTCTCCAAGTCAAGTCCCCAGGAGACGGGTCACTGGGGCTCTTCCAAGCTGTTAGACGCCGTTCAAGACCATTCTTCAAGTCCCATCCAAACTTCATTTCTGGCAGCAATGTATCAGATGGATAATCAAAGCTTTGCCACAAAAAAGTTTCCGAATTAGAAACTTGTTCATCTCTCAGGACAAGATTTCCGGAATCTAAAAGCTCTGCTAGCACTGGACTCTGGACTTCAATTGTCAAGTTTGCTGACCAAACTACAGTCTTGTTCTGGCTTGTTAATACAAGATTACCTGTGCTGTTTATCATCAATAATCCTGAAGAATCATTGATGGGGTTGACTCTGTTTGCTACCCAAACAACAGTTTGAATTGGGATCTTTTTGTACCAAATTCCTAAATAACGATTCTTGGAACTACCAGGACTGAAGAAACCAAGCTCGAAGGTACCATTTTTTGAAACCAAGGTGTTGCCATCAGTTAGATATTGGGATGAACTCATGGTTTCAGTTGCATCAGAGAGTTCACAAAACAGAAACAGCAACTTAAAACTAATGAACAAAAAAGGAAGAATATCCATTGTTGCCTGGACTATATCTGCAGCAGCTTATATATAAACGCCATGAAAATTGGTCCATCTAGAAGAAAATTGATCTGAATGCGATGATGCTGACACATATTTAATTCAACCGCCTTTATAGACTTTTAGCTGAAAATAAAACGTGTCCATAGTGAATATCCGAACCCAAAAGAAAAAGGGAAAAAAAAACTTAGAAAAGTATACCCCTCCTGTTTTTCCAACATAAGGAAATGTTGCTGGGTCTCTGCAACAATACTTGGATCTGAACGGTTGGTCAAACTGTTTGACCTTTTACCATTTCAAATGAGTCCAAAACTTCTGCGCTGGAGATAGACTTTTTGATTTTGGTTGTATAAACAACCATGCAGACGGTTCACGCATTTCTAGTTGAGGATAACATTATTCTTTGGTTTTGCTTGACTAAATATTTTCTTACGCACCGGCATTAATTGGTAATCAAGATTGGAGTGCTCAATTAAGAATATTAAATTTGGTGGAGAAAGAGACAGCATAATGCATTCATTATCAGTTTATTAACTGCAAGCTTTACACCAGTTTTATGGTAACACACCAGTTACAAAGAACACAATCTAATAAAACTATGTTTCCAGCTCCATACAAGTTACAGTATCAAGTTCATTAAACAACAATATAAAATGTGGCCAGTAAAGCAATAAAAAGTGTTACTTTGAGAAACTTGCCATCATAATAACCACTGGAGATCAGCATTCTGCATTTCATAACTGTAAAATTTATTGACTATGAATTTTAATATCCGGCCGATTAAGAAAATGAATGGGGAACTATACATAAATATGCAGATGAAAAATGATCCACAGGGTCAAAATAGGCATACAAAATTAGCTGATGAAGGTACAGGAAATATCGACTAGGTCGTATAGTAAGAAAACTATCGAGCCTCCAACAGTGAGATAGTGATTTCATTGGTAGAAGAGGATTCAGGCTTGCCTGATGAAGTGCCTGTTTCATGTAATTTCCTGTCCATCAGGAAGCCAGGTTGTTTTGGCTCAGTTAATTCACCATCACTACCCAACATTAGAACAGCAGATGACATATTTGGCCTGTCCTCAGGATACTGTTGCACACATAAGAGACTAACGTGGATGCATCTGATCACTTCTGATAAATGGCATGATTCTCCCAACACTGGATCAATCAGTTCTAAAGGCTTGCCTTCTTTCCACAATTTCCATGCCTAAAACATATCAAAAACCCTTTGTCATTACGATTTCCAGTCCTAATTTGACAGTTTAAAGGCAAACTATTAAGCTTTGCTGAAAGTAATGTAATATTTTTCACTTACATATCCTATAAGGTTAAGGCTCTCGTCTGGATGATAAAATCCTCTGTTTCTTATCCCACTTATTATCTCCAGCATTAAAATACCAAAGCTAAAGACATCAGATTTTACTGAGAATAGCCCATCACTAGCATATTCTGGTGCCATATAACCACTGTATAGATGATTAAAAGAGAGATTTCAGTTATTGAGTGAAAGTGAACTATAATGATGGTATGATAAAAAAATTACTTACTAAGTTCCAACTACTCTTTTTGTGTTTCCCTCGGTCTGGTCTCCGCCAAAAGTTCTTGCCAAGCCAAAATCTGAAATTTTCGGGTTCATCTCATGATCAAGTAGTACATTACTTGCTTTGAGATCTCTGTGTATGATCCTCAATCTAGAGTCCTGATGAAGATAGAGAAGACCCCTTGCAATCCCGCAAATGATGTGGAAACGCTTAGACCAGTCTAATTGCTTACCTTCTTTTTGATCTGGCAAGTATCGTATTCAGGGTTAGTTTAATATCTAGCTTGAAGTTTCAAGGACAGTGAAAAAGACTTATCTAAACTTGTTAGGGTCATAATTTTGAGGGATGCTGACCAAAAATGAAGTTGTCCAGACTCTTGTTGGGCATGAATTCATATATTAGCAATTTCTCCTCTCCTTGAATACAGCAACCAAGAAGCTTTACAAGATTTCTGTGCTGTAGTTTGGCAATCAGAATGACTTCATTTTTGAACTCATTTAGTCCTTGCCCAGAAATCACGGAAAGTCTCTTCACAGCAATTTCTTGTCCATCCTCTAGTTTGCCCTGAAAAGAGATATATGAAATGACTTATGCTATTCTAAATAAGATCAGTACTTTTTTCACATAGTCATTTCAGTACTGTGTTGGGGTTTTACTTGGTACACAGGTCCAAATCCACCTTCTCCAAGCTTGTTGTTCATTGAGAAGCTATTGGTGGCATTGGCAATTGTAGCTAACTCAAACAATGGCAGCTCCAGGTCTTCTTGTTGATCTTCATTGCGGTTATTGGTTTCCCTGTTGTTTTCTGTTTTCTCTGAAATAATGGACATATTAACTACAAATAAGAGGTTATGAACTTTTGTTTAATAAACATTAACAGCCACGTAACACCTATGGTGTTGTTTTATTAGGAAATGAAGATCAAAATTACAAAGATAATGAACATCCTCCAAAAATAGACATATTCCAGCGTAATTAAATACATGAATATATGAACTCTTAGAATTATGACTGCCAGCTACTCAAAATATAGTAGTTCAAAAGAAACATATAATCTAGCCTCCAAAAGCTAGCCAGTAGCTGCAAAGGGCATAATAGATGAATTATAGCAACAGAAAAACCATAACAGCATGCCCCAGAAACACTCCACCAAATAGCACACAGAAAGCACCAGGAAAATTAACCAAAGCTCCTCAGATTTCGAAAACCCCCTGCAATTGCCGAAAATCGCCAGAAGAAAAAATAAAAAATAGAAACATATCATTTCAATCAAGGTAGCAAATATGTAACCATTCCAAATAATATCAAAATTCTAGTTTATACAAATTAACAGTAAATACTAGAATCATCAGTTATTTGGAATGGATACATATTCGTCAAAGTATATTAACATACAAATTCCCAAACTTCCATTTTGCAATCAGTTTTTACACCTTACTGATGGCATTTACAAGGCATTTATGAAGAAGTCTAATTGAAAATTAGATGGAGAAAAGTCTGACTATGCTCTATTGGAAAAGGGTTGGATGGAAGAAAATTGCTACCACTCATTTATCATTATAGGAAACAAAGGACCATAAATTTCTGAAAGCAAACAGAGTAACTTTACCTGATGTTTTCTTCTGCCTCCTCTTGTGAATTACATAACCGAGTATAATTACAAGCAACCCAGCTACTACACCAATTGTAGTAAAAACTATCACCAATGTCATCTTCTTCTTTCCATCACTCGACCCTAAGAAACAGTTTGGATACAGCCAAGCAAATTAATCAACAATAGTACACCGAAGAAAATCTATCTATGTAACACAAAAATGATTAAGCCAATACCTAGTTCTGAAGCAGACATTCGAATATACAAGTCCTGCCCACTAGCTGTCATCTCTCTGATATCAATCAAATCACCAAACCACATGGTACAGCCGCTGCCTCCTCCTTCAACGTTTGAATTTGCATATGCCATACAAGAAGAGTTCTGTGAGCATTTCAACCCGCATTCCTTGAGATTCATACTTCCGTTAACCCGAGAATGATTAGCATCCGGCAATTTCAGCCCCTGAAATTTGATAAAACCATCTATTGTTGACAAGTTCAGTGGCTTATTACGCACACACCCCTGTGACCAGTCCACATTTCCTGGTGATTTAGGCGTGAACCCTTTCAAACATTGGCAAATCGGTGATTCACTGAGAATACAAACCCCATAGGAACCACAAAGTCCATAATTGTCACATCTATCTCTCGGCACAACTGCATACACCGTCCAACTTTGACTTGATGGACTCCAGGTGAATCTATCACGTTGATACTCAGTTTGGTTCATAACAATCCTGGAGATCACTGAATTGTCCGTGACATTGTATGTGTAGTACAACTCATCTTCGTTAGATACAAAGCTGAAAACGAAAACCGGATTAGGCCTCAACTCTGGCGCGCCACTGAATCTAAGGCCATTCCAGGGGCCACTCCTGAAGAATTTGGTCGAGCCCTTCCACATAATTAACTCAGGATTTTGTTGTGGTTCCAACTCCCAGGTGAAGTCTCCAGGAGACGGGTCATCAGGGCTCTTCCAAGACGTTAAACGCCGCTCAAAACCAGTCCTTAAGTCCCATCCAAGCTTCATACCTGGAAGCATAGTATCAGATGGATAGTCAAAACTTTGCCACAAATAATTAGTCTCCGAATTCCCATCTTGCTCATCCCTTAGGATAAGATTTCCTGTATCCAGTAGCTGAAGTATTACCGCGGAACTTGATACTTGTTTTGTGAAATTTGCAGACCAAACTACACTTGTGTTCTGGCTCATTAAAACAGGATTTCCGGAGCTGTTTATCATCAACAAACCTGACGAATCATTGATGGGATTGAGTCTATTGGCGACCCAAACAACAGTTTTAACTGGGATATTCTTGTACCAAATTCCTAAGTAACGATTTTGATTATTACCAGGACTGAAGAAACCAAGCTCAAAGGTTCCATCATTTGAAATCAAGGTGGCGCCACTGGTATCATTAAGAGACTGTAATGAGTTAATAGTATCGGCTGCATAGGAGAATTCCACGAACAACAGGAACTTAAAACTGATGAACATGAAACAAAGAATATCCATGGGTGCCTGCAGCTTCAGTCAGAAAGAAGCCCTCTAAAGCAAGTTATATATCAAAAAAAAAAAAAACACCATAAAGAAAACAATGTTTTCTATCTAGAATGATATTGACATAAAGCCAATGACTTTATTATGCTTTCATTCAGCGTACGGCAGCTGTTTCTTTATCGTTGAGCTGTGCCAGACTGCCACTGTAGAAAGGACAGGTAGTTGAATATTTCCAAATTCCAAAAGGTAACTGTCACTTACATCAGCCCCTGTAAAATATCTTTTATTTCTGCTGATGCCCATATTTTTTTTCAAAAAAGTATGTGAACCCACCTGGGTTTTAAACTTTCAATTATTTTACCTTCAGTCTCTTTTCTGACCGTTCTGATTTTATTAATATCTGGATTTGGACTCTTTTTACATGCTCAAGTTGATAGGAGTCAATAAAATTTTACCCCTTAAACCACTTAAAAAGATAAAATTTATGATATAGATATCACATGATTTTCTACCAAAAACTAATCATTCAAGAAGTTTGTTTCACTTCTTGAAAATTATGGCTATATTGGTAATAGATCGAATATGACGGATTAAACAAATTTCTATTTTATACATGAATTGAACAATCTTCAAATCGAAGTTCAGGGAAATAGATGTGATATACAGAAAAAGAATAAATATAGATTTTTGTTTCTACTTTTGGAGATATTTTACTAACAAGCCACATGGCAATTGCATCTATCGAATTATCGAATTCAATTCAAATGGAAGAAAAAAGTCGCTGTTAAATGAATGCCAATTTGTCGAAAATGATGGATTGTGATAGAGTTAAGCAATCTTTGAAGGGGTGGATGAAGTGATTGAAAAGTCTGCAAATGTGAAAAGTTAATGTAAAAAGGTTGCTGGCGTTAATAAATATGTACTAAGATTTGGTTGGCCGGTCAGCTTGGTCCAGCAATATGAGATTCTTTACAATAACAGATGGCCCCATATTTCCTCATACGAAATCGAAATATTTGACATTCTTGTTTGAAATTAAGCCTTTTCACATCAATTTCTCCCTGGTCTTGCGTGGCAATGAGAAAATTATCAAGTAAGTAGATATAAATTCCGGGTTCAACACAGAGGACTAAATGTCGAAGTGACAGTGACCCACAACAGAAAATAGAGTTATATTATTGACAAAAGTCTTTGTTTCCTTATTAAAACGGGATTTGTTTTCTTCTCATTTTTCTTCTGGTTTACGCGTTTGTTATTTATCACTTCCATGATTTGATCAAAATTTTGAATTGTTCGTTCGAAAATTCTTTGACTGTTTTAGTTGGAAAATTCTTTTATCAACATTACTCTTTTATAAAAAAGAACTTGTTAAAACATACATAAATTACTACAAATTATATAAAACTCCAGGATCTTCTTGATCCATAACTGTATACTACATCATTAGTGGCCTAATCACTTCTAGTTCTACAGTCTAACTCATAAGGTTGAAATGTGACTGATATCAGTTACTGGGATCATATGTTATGAGCATTCTCTATCTAGGCTCCAACTGAGAGAAAGTAATTTCATTTGTTGAAGATGATTCAGGCTTACCAAATGAAGAGCCTGGTGGTGGTTCATCTGATTTCCTGTCTATCAAGAAATCGGGTTGTTTCGGCTGAGGCAACGCAATCTCACTGCCCAACATCAGAACCACAGATGACATGCTTGGCCTATCTTCAGGATGCTGCTGCACACATAACAAACTAATGTGGATGCAACGCGTGACTTCTGATGGATTACGTGATTCGCTCAAGAATGAATCAATCAGTTCTAATGGCTTGCCTTCATTCCACAATTTCCATGCCTAAATCATATATTATCAGTTTGAATACTGTCAGAATTTGATATAATTCTTGAAACTTAAGCTGAAATGTACATTAATGTTTCTTACTTGTCCTACAAGAGTAAGACTTTGGTCTGTGTGATAAAAACCTCTACTTTTCTTTCCACATGCAATCTCCAGCATTAAGATTCCGAAGCTAAATACATCAGATTTTACTGAGAATAGACCATCAGTAGCATACTCTGGTGCCATATAACCACTGTAGGAAATTGTTTAAAAGAGAAATTTAATTAATAAGGGAACTACATTATAAAGATGATATAGATAAGAAAGACTTACTAAGTTCCAACCACTCTCTTTGTGCTTCCTTCAATCTCATCTCCTCCAAAAGTTCTTGCCAAGCCAAAATCCGAAATTTTTGGGTTCATCTCATGATCAAGTAATACATTACTTGCTTTTAGATCTCTATGTATAATCCTCAGTCTAGAATCTTGATGAAGATAGAGGAGACCCCTAGCGATCCCACAAATAATGTGAAAACGCTTGCACCAGTCCAATAGCTTACGGTTTTTTTGATCTGGAAAGTTTCATATTTAGGTTAGTTTAATATCTCTATGATTGAAAAAAAAGATCTATGTATAAACAGAGTTACACTAGACCAGCTGAATTCATAAGTTGAGGGATGCAAACCAAAAATGAAGAAGTCAAGACTCTTGTTGGGCATGAATTCATAAACCAGCAATTTCTCATCTTCTTGAATGCAGCAACCGAGAAGCTTTACAAGATTTCGGTGCTGTAGTTTGGCGATCAGTATAACTTCATTTTTGAACTCATTTAATCCCTGCCCAGAAATCTTTGAAAGCCTCTTTACAGCGATTTCTTTTCCATCCGCCAGTATACCCTGGAAAAAGTATTTGTTAAATGAGTTGTGGCATTTCTGAGTAGAATAAGTAGTTTGCTCATGCCATCATTTCACTTGCATGTTGCAAGCTTACTTTGTATACAGGTCCAAAGCCACCTTCTCCAAGCTTGTTGTTGATTGAAAAGTTATTGGTGGCATTAGCAATTGTAGCCAACTCAAATAGCGATAGCTCAAGGTCTTGTTCTTGCTCTTCATTTCCCTGATCAGTGTATCCACTGTTTTCTGTTATCTCTGAAATAGTGGACAATATAACTGTAAATAATTTAAATTACCATTTCAGAAGTACAGGTTCTTTATCAGAAAAATAGCATTTAAGTGACTATTAAATTTAGCCAATATGTATTTGTCAGTTGATAAGGGAGTAGCACAGAAACACTTAAACAGAAAATAAATAAGAACTCATACTTCTAAATCAGGTGGCAACTATCCAATTACTTTGATTAATGCATTAAACACTTCATATATACTTTAAGATTTCATTCGCATTGCATTTAAAATTGACTGCAAATACTGTAATTTGCTATTACTTGAATTAATCAAAACCAATGACCACGAATATCTGAAGACAGATAGTAAATTTACCTACTGCATTTGCCCTGCGTTTGTGAATGTAATAGCTTGCTATAAGTATCCCAGCAATCACAGCAATAGTAGCAACAATTATCACCGCTATTTTCAGCTTTGTGACATCTGTCGCCCCTGGTTGAATGGCTAAAATAAAGAAAAATTCAGTAATGATATAGCATAGTGAATAGTTAAATTACATTAAAAACACATGTACAAAGGCTATAGCAAGAAACAGATTTATGTATTGACCACATAGTACTACCCCAATCTATAAAAGCTAATAATTTTAACAACAGAAAGACTGATAACGATGATCTAACTTTGGTGAGTAACCAATGCTCACTAAGGAGCAATAGAAACTAAATTAAGAAAATACCTATCTCTGAAGCAGACATTCGAATATATAAGTCCTGCCCGCCATCTGGCTGTTGTCTGATGTCAATCAGGTCACCGAACCACATGGCGCAGCCACTGCCTCCTCCTCTAATATCTGAGTTAGTGTATGCCATACAAGAAGAGTTCTCTAAGCATTTCTCTCTGCATTCCTTGAGATCCATACTTTTTTTCACTGAAGCATGTGTAGCATCTGGTAGTTTCAATCCATTAAATCTGATAAAACCATCTGTCTTAGAGTAGTTTAGGGGCTCATTGCGTACACACCCTTGAAACCAGTCAATATTTGCTGAATTAGGCTTGAAGCCTTTGAAGCATTGGCAAACAGGTGATTCAGTACTCATACAATTCCCGTAAGCACCGCAAAGACCATAAGTGTCACAGTAATCTTTTGGCAAAATTGAATACACCTTCCAACTTTGAGTTGCTTCACTCCATGCAAGTCGTTGACGTACATAGTTGGTTTGGTTCATAACAACTCTTGTGATTAATGATTTGTCTGTGTTATTGTACATGTAGTACAACTCCTCCTCATTACTGACAAAGTTGAACTGAAAAACCGGGTTAGGCTTTAATGCTGGTGCACCACTAAATCCAAGGCCATTCCATGGACCGCTCCTGTAGAATTTTTTTGAGTCTTTCCACATAACCAGCTCAGGATAATCTTGTAGTTCTACTGCCCAGGTAAAGTTTCCAGGAGATGGGTCATCTGGGCTCTTCCATGCTGATAGACGCCGTTCTAGACCATTTTTGAAGTCCCATCCAAGTTTCATTTCTGAGAGCAATGTATCTGATGGATAGTCAAAGCTTTGCCACAAATAAGTTCCCAAATTACCATCCTGTTCATCTCTTAGGACGAAATTTCCAGAATCTAGTAACTGTAGTAGCACTGGACTCCGGACTTCTTTTGTCAAGTTTGCAGACCAGACTACACTGGTGTTCTGGCTAATTAAAACAGGATAGCCTGTGCTGTTTATCATCAACAAACCAGAAGAATCATTGATAGGATTGAGTCTGTTTGCAACCCACACAACCGTTTTAACTGGGATCTTACTGTACCAAATTCCTAAGTAACGACTCTTGGTACTACCAGGACTGAAGAAACCAAGCTCAAAGGTTCCATCTATTGAAACTAAGGTTCTGCCATCACTTAGAGACTGGGATGAACTAATGGAGTCGGAAGCATAAGAGTATTCAGAAAAGAAAAGAAGCAACTTATAGCTGATGAGCAGAAAAGAAAGGATATCCATTGTTTCCAAGACTTGGGGCTCTTTGTACAACTTACAGACAAACACGTAACCTCAACATGGAAGATTCATGACTTGAATTCAGTTCAGAGAAGAAACCTTCAACAATAGTGACTTTCAGATTAAAATACAACAGTTATGTTATTATGGAAAGAAAATATCTAAATCAGATGTTACATGATAATAAAAAATGTTGACGCAATACTAAATGAACTCAGATTTAGTAGACTAGCCCAACGGTTTGACATTTATTACAATAGCCACCAATTTCTAAACTTCATGTTTGACACACTTTGTACAGAGTTTACAGGGTATCACCCATATTTTTATTTTCATTTTTCACAAAGAGTAAAGTAAATAGTTGCTTTACCGAAATTTGCTCTAGTTGCAGGAGGTTCACAGTTGAGAACTACACATCAACAGTTGGTAAGGACTGCATTTAGGGAGAAAAAAGAAGATGTTAAGATCTAGAAGAAATCAGCCTTAATCATACGTGTATAAATTAATCATCTAACCTGGTCAATTGAAGTCAAAGAATGGCATTCCAAAAGACTACAGCCTTCAAGAGTTCAAGTTTGATCAGGTCAACTTGATTAGTTGGTTTCATTCAGTAACTACATAACCAATATGCAGATGCCAGAAACCATTATTATTCCCAGCCTAAAGAAAAGGAAACCAAAATGACCAAACAAATGACTTATCTTGCACCACTTTCGGTAAATTTTGGTCCATAAAACCCCAGCAGTCGTAGAGTCAACTCCACTACAGGGGTTAGAAAAATTCCACCTTAGGTTGGAAAATCTGTATGACCCCATCACTTTACTTACTTTTATTTTTTTAAGTGAATCGAAGTTTATACTTTATAACAGTGATCACCAATTAAAGGTCTTTTTGAAGGCAAAGGCTTGATTCTAAGCACTATATTGTGCATTACAGATTGCAAAACTGAAGCTAAATATTTAGAATAACATAATTTAAGAACCTACAGAATCTGCTTCTGCTCTGTATTTTTTTTGACACTTGACCATCCAGTCTTGCCAGAAAGCCAAAACTTAGTCAGAAATTTTCTTAGCTTTTTCATGGTTTTAGTCTTTTAGAGCATAGCTAATTACACATTTAGACACCTAAATGTATATTAACACACAATTTTTTGATATATTTGAACCCAAACTTCTCCACTTGGCACTCTTAAATGGAATCATAATAGCAAATTCAATATATCTCTTATAAAGCTTTTCTTTTAGCTTGGGCCTTTTGTATGCCTTCATATCTATGTGCAAATGAGTACTTCAATAAAACAAGATCAAACCAGAACAAAAATGGAAACGCTAAATGTTTCTGAATTTCTCATTTCCCTCAAGTATATTCATCAATTCCATTACAAAAAAAAATCTTCCAAAATAAAACATCAATAAATTAAAAAAAAAAAAAAAAAAAAAAAAAAAGAGTTAATGACAAGCCTTGAACTCTTGGTCAAGAGCCTCTTCAACCAAAAATTTTGAAGTTTCCATCAACTCAGGGCTCAATCTAAACATCAAAACACAAAACTCCATCTGATTAAGAGCTCCATCGCCATCAAAGTCACCTTCTCTCACCATAGACCTCAGATCATCATCACTCATGTCTTGTAAGCCCATCAAAGCTGAGTTTCTCTTAAGACTCTCAAAGGTGATGACCCCTTTATCAGTATCCATCAAAAGATTAAACCCATTACACAACTCTCCAATCAAACCATCCCCACCAAGCTTGTGTGCCATGAGGGGCAAGAAATCTTCGAAGTTTTGTGAAGCAGCTGCCATTGTAATTAGAGGAAGAACTCAAAGAAAGAAGTTTTACAATTATGAAAGTTGAGTTGGGTTTGAGAGTATGTGAATGATGGAGGATTATATATAGAGGCGAAAGAGCGGAGGGTTTTCCAAGAAAGAGAGCCATGGAAGACAACTAAGCTACAGGTAATGAAAGGAAGGTTGGGCCATTTCTTGACACCGTGATATGGGTTTCTGGGAAGGTAGTCAGGGGCAGAATAGTCATTTCGATGGATTGCAAAAGGTCGGGACAAAGGGGTATAATGGTAAAGAAAGTTTGGTGGGACAGTGGAGGAATCATGAGGGGTAATATTGTCATTCTGAAGAGATGGATATGGAAATTGTTTTACTTAAGCCTTAAGGGGAATGCTTAAGGGCTAGATTTGTCAATTTAGAAACACTTAATTAATTTTTTTTAATTGTTATAATTTGTACCATGATTATTCAGTTATTATTATTATTATTATTAAATGAAATTAATATTCCGAGTTTCATAACTTTCGTTATAATATAGTTACATTATACGTATATTACAAGTTTTATATTTTTGTTCACCGGTTTTAAGTTTTAGGTTGATATATATGTATAGTGATATATTGTAGAAAAATCTGAGTTTGATCTAAAAAATAAAAATAAAAAACAAATTATTCATGATATGAATCGATCAAAAACCCAACCACTCATTTTCAATAATTTCTTAGAAATTGTGTTGGTCAAATTTTCAATTTCTTGTTTGCCTCCTCTTCTGAATGGATGGTAAGAAAATATTGTCACGTTTTTCTTGGTAAAAACTCAAATTCATTGTTTCAAGTTTTCCCACTTCCAATTAATTGTTGTAATTGGTAATAAATATTTTATTTTAGATTTTACCAAAAATCTTTGAATAGGTCCACTAATAAATTCCACATCCAAGGTCAAAGCCGACCTTTTCCGACCACTACTGTAATTTAAAGTTTCCTTTGCCTTCTTTTTTGGATGCTCTCGGGGAATTTCCTACTTGGGAAGGAAACTTATAAGGGTAGAATAGTCATTTCATAGTAGAAAGATGTTGGAAATTCAATGGGTGGCTTAACTTTGGAGGAAAGCTCACTGGGGGCATAATCGTCTCTTTAATTAAAAAAACTCCTTTCAAATCTTCTTCACATTTTAAAAATTGAACGGCCCAACTCGCCGACATATCTTTATGACAAGTTTACATTTATAAATATATAAAGCAGAGATTTTTTTATTCCATTAATCAAAATTTTATATATAATTTTTTAATTAGTATGTTTAATATTGTCAAAATCATAAACTTATTCATTTATAAAATATTAATTCAGTCTAACGATATAAACCCAACGATATTTAATCATAATTTTGACAAAAAAATATATGAGATCCTCAATATATATATATATATATATATATATATATATATAACTGATATTTTTGGGTTAGTTTGTTTACATCTTAATTAATGATCAGGGTTTATTGAACATTCTGTAATCCTAAAAAATTAGATAATTATAATATTATTTGATAGATTATTCCAATTTGAATTCGAATACTAAAAGATGTAGGTTATCCTCGGTTATATATATATATATATCTAATATATATATAATATATATATATATATAATTGAGTGTAGCAGGCGTTTGTTTTCAATCGCTAGAATCCAAATGTGATAATGGGCCTCTCACCCAACCTCTGGGAATTTTCTCAACTTGTCTTGTTGTGGGCACCCTCAAAATTCTTCCCCCACAACCCACTACAATCCATAGTCCAAACAAAAGAGTATTCAATGCATGTATCAGCTTTTGTATTTAATTAAATAATAAATCATGCAATTAACTCTCAATTTTATGAGTCCAGTGATTTTGGAAACACAAAAATTTCAGTAGAAACTGAAGTTATATAAGTAAGAAAATAAAAATATCCTTCTTCTGTAAAGAATGTAATATTTGGAAACTTTTATATTTCCAATTTTTGAAGAGAATTGAGATTGTTAAAATTAATCACTTAGAATCTTCCTTCAAATCTCCTATTGGAGTGACTAGTGAGTACCTTTCTGATACAATAATTTCTTCAAAATAACACCTTTTACTTTTTATAATATTGGCCTAATTCTCATAATTTTGACCATATACCATAAGAAACAATATTAACTATTTAAACTATCTTTAAGTGGTTAAGTAGTTTGATAAAGACTCTTAGATGTATTACTAAAAAAGTCTTAGATTCTAATCTCTCATTAATTACTAATTAGAGTAGTCATCAGAATTCTTACCCAACCGATAGTTATAAGTCTTAAAGGATTAGTTGAGGTATGCATAAAATGTAGAAAACCTATAAGACCAAAACTCCGTGTTTCGGATGAAAAATCTATTAAACTTGATCAACTATTAATAAGTAATCTCAAGTCCAAGATGAGTGGATTTTGACAAGGAGATGTAGAAATAGTACTTCATGATCTATTACGTGTATGTTCTTTTTCCTTCAAATTTATATTTATTTATTTGCATATTTTGCTTGGTGATTGAGTTTTACAACTTTAATGACATATAATTGAAAAATCGACAAATCATTGTTGTTTCTCTTGACAATGTTGTTTGTATCTAATGAATCCAGCTGGCTCTAATGACATTGATATTAATGAAGTGTGGTTGATCAGCATGAAGGGAAATTTCAAAAGCCATAACATATCTCTGAACATAATATGCACATCTGTGTCATAGCCCTAGACAGATGTCTCATGTCCTCTAGCAGTTGTAAGTAACGATGAGCTATACACGGTAAGTGTCATCATCAACATGATCTGGAAAGGTACCATGGACAACGATTCGAAGTTTATATAACCCAAATTGACCAGCTCCCCCATCAATATTTCACCTAAGAGGTAAAATTCTGTACAACTAACCCATATTTGAGTACCTAAATCTACCCAATAATGTTTGATTTTCATTTTGAGAGACACAAACCCAAAAGTTGAAACACATCTTACTGTGTTTAGTTGAAATCTCTCTCAGACATTATACTTACCAAGCAAATGTGATTTTTCCTACTAATAATACTACACCAACAACCATTTCTTACAAATTTTTTCTTACAACCCTGACGTGACAACTCGCAGTTAATTAGTGAAACTCATGCAAGACTCATGTGAGATCTGTTGTGAACCGACTAATTACAAGCTGTCACGTCAGGGTTGTGAAAAAAAGTTTGCGAAAGAGGGTTGTTGGTATAGTATTATTCTTTTCCCTACTCCTCCCATTCCAAAAAAATGGTATATTACATTAAAGGTGAATCACTTAATCCATCTTTCATTTAGCTTTATTTTCAAGTTTAAAGCATATGCTTTTCTATCTTAATCAACAATAAAGCAAGTATACTAATAAATTCCAAAGGGTCCATCCCATAAAGAGCAGAATGAACCAAGCCCAAGATGCTAGAAAGGAGCCTGCTAGTGCCAGCCCATCTACATGTGGGTTATCTTGGCCCATTCTAACTAGTTTCAGATTTACAAATATGAGTTGACTTTTTCTCATCCAAATAATGGTTTGTGACATTTTCTCACCCACCTACTTTTAAAACAACATTTTATTACTTAAATATATATTTCTTAAATATATATTCCAATAACAAACAGACAATACTAAATTTGATGAATGAATTTGAAACCCTTAGATGAATGAATTTGAAACCCTTAGATGAATGAATGACTTACTTAGAGAGGTTGGTAACACAAATTTTGGTCCTGTCTTTGTTGAGAGGACACTAAATTTGAGTACCCAATAATACAAAGATTTGTGAGAGAGGCAAGCTTTTGTAATCCCCACTGGATTGGTAACTTATAGATATTTACATTTTCACCTAACCGAAGTTAGGCTAATAAGAAAACCTTCTTTTGGAAAGAGCATAATACTTGGAAACTTGTATATTTCCAATTGAGAACTGAGATTGTGCATTGGGTATGGCAGGACTTTAATTCTTAAAAGAATGTTAAGATTGAATATACAATTGGGTTATATATCAAAACTTGCAAGATGCTTAAGGAGATTATTGATTAGATAAACTTCAGCTATCTGATACAATAATCTCTTAAAAACAACACCTCTAGTTATACAATTTTGACAATAAATCAGTAGAACAATATTAACCATTTAAAACTAAACACAAAGAGGAGATTCATATAAAACTACCAGTAAAAATGCTTTAAGTCGTTATGTATGTAAGTTCTTTCGTGATCAACTGCCGCATTGTTGTTTCTCTTGATAATACAATAAAATTAATAATAACGATGTTGTTCCTGATGATAATAGTATAATACAACCATTGTCTTCCCACTCATAAACTCTTTTATATCTTTCATTTCAGGAAACATCACAATTATAGCGGTGGGTGCTGTTTCTCTTTATGATATTTTAATGATAACCCATTTTATTGTCTTATGACCATTAAGGGTTTTTTTTTTTTTTTTTCATCGTATTCTATCAATAACACATCTCCAAACATCATGTAATGCAATTGTATTACGGCAATGAACAAACAATGAAAGAACTCTGATATTATTTTATCTTCAGATTTCAGAAACCCAAATTTATGTTTTCAAGAGACATACACCCGTTATTCTAGAAACCCAAATCTACGTCTTAAAAATACAAACTCAATGTTTTGAGACACATCCCCACTTCAAAGAAACCCAAATCTCTCTTTTAGAAACACAAACTCATCTTTCTGAGACACATACCTACTTCAGAGACACACACCCATACTTATTAAAACACAAACTCATATCTTCATAGACACATACCCACTTTAGAGACACACACCCATACTTCTCAGAAACCCAAATCTGTCTCTTTAGAAAAACATAAACTCATATCGTCTGAGACACGTACCCACTTTAGAGACACACACTCATACTTGTCAGTATCTCTTAGAAACACAAACTCATATCTATCTCTTAGAAACACAAACTCATATCGTCCGAGACACATACCCACTTCAAAGACACACAACCATATTTCTCAGAAACCCAAATCTATGTCTTGAGAAACATAAACTCATGTCTTCTGACACACATACCCATGTCTGATACACATACCCATACTCTCCAAAACCCAAATCTATGTCTTAGAAACATAAATTGTGTTTTCGGAGACACATACCCACTTCACTGACATATAGCTATACTTCTCAGAAACCCAAATCTATGTGTTCAGAGACACATACCCATGTCAGAGACACATACCCATATTTCTCATCAACTCAAATCTATCTCTTCAGAGACACATATCCATACTTTTGGTTTGCAATCTCCGAGAGCTTTACATTCATACCCAAAAATCGTAATCTTGCCAACTCCTCCCATACCAAGAAATGGGTTATTACAGAAAAGATGAAATCAGTTTCTCCATCCTTTATCACCCTTTGAATCATTTTAGCTTTATCTTCATCTCTGCCAAAAGCAGTAGGTTCAGTTGGCAAAGATATAATGCGTGGTCGTTTCCATACAAATGGAACTACCTCTCCATTAACTACTTGCAATTCAAGCTCAATTCTTTCCTCACAGATTCCTTCCAACCCGGAAGTTATATCTTTCATCTTTAACCATAAATTAACCCTGATTCCATCATAGTTCGGATCTGTCACACAACAAATTTAATCTCTATGACTTGATGGGTATATAATTACTATAAAAACTCAGTCATGCATACCAAATGTTTGATAAAATGACTGTTATACATCTATAAATAAACCCAGTCGGGTCTTAATCTAACAAGAACAATTGGCTTTTATATGGAGAGAAAAGCTAACCTTCTAAAGCCGTAAAAAGGGAGTTTCACAGCAGATCTTGCAACTGAAGCAGAGGAGTAAGACCAGCTTGGTAAAATTAAGAAAGTATGCGAAAGTATGGTCGGTGTTTTGGTTCTCCGGTGGTTGGGTTGACTAAAAGCTGACCCAGAACAGCAACCAAAACGAGAAAGCGGCGTGTGAGAGTTGATATCATTTTATTTTTATATGATGTAATGGCATGGGCTAGGTCTAGGTATTTGGGCACGTGAGATAGCCGACTGGTCGTACCTCTTTGAAATGAGTAAACGACATTTCTGTTGCTTTTATGAACTTCTTTAGTTTTTTTTTGGTTTCAATTAGTTTTACTTTTCTGGAAATCAAAGGGCAGACATTATTCAAAACGTTCAAGCAACTGGGTTGGACAGTGTTATGCCTGAAAAAGTAAGGCTGACGTAGAGCCCGGTTAGCATAAATGGTTAGGGCTTAGGCAGATCCTACAGTCGTTCAGACGCAATCACGTCATATGCTGGCGTGAGCAGCATGCTCCTGCGAGTGTAGTGGTTGCGTGCCAAACTGACGAAAGGCAAGAGGCCGTCCACGTGTCCAACCCCTGCACTAAACGAGGAAATCACTTGAGTGGGTGAGCAACAGGACGCAAAGAAGGATTTGCATGATATCTGCCCCCTTTTTACGGATTCAGTAATCATTACTCCAATTCATCACACTATAAATAGAGAGCTCCTCTCCCATTTGTGGGATTGGCTCATTTTACTCTGTATTAGCTAATTTCTCTCTGTAATAGCTTATTCTCTCTTTCGTAATCACTTACGAGTCAGCTCGCTAAACGCGACTTGACCCTCCATATTAATACAATATCAGTGGATGTAGGAGTCGCTTGCTTAAGCGTTCGAACCACTTTAAAACATTGTTTCTTCACCTATTACTCATTTCACTACCCTCATTCGCGTGTGTCTTCTAGGCCAGCTCAGCATTTCACACGTTCGTTTAGTTAGTGTTAAAATCACGCATTAACAGTTTGGCGCTAGAAGGAAGGTCTGATTTAGTATTCGACCATCATCAGGAGAATCTTTGACTAACTGGTCCTACAACAGCAAATGGCTCGCCGATTCGAATCTGAGCGAACCAATCATGGTGATGAGGAGATCCCCTAGGTACAAGAGGACACTTCTCCCAAGGTGCCCTCAGTTCCACAAAATGTCATAGGGGATATCCCTTTAAGCTCACAACTTGACCCAGCCGTCATGAGCTACCTGGAGAGGTTCAACAATACTCTCCAAACGGTCAGCCAAAGGCTGGATCGTTTGGACCAGGCCATGCCACCCGAATCAAATGGGGCGGTGCAGTCGTAAAGAACGCCTACAGGTCACGTGAAAGCGCGGAAAAGGGCGATAGCACATGTCGTGCACACTGCAACACTTCAAAGGAAGGGTAAGCAAGTGGCGAACAGCGGGCCCAAGGGCTCCAAAGGACTAGTAGAATACCTGTGGTGTTAAGGCTCGGTGGCAGGTCGCATCCTGAGCTGTCCCATGCCACATTGCACAAGCACTCCCACAAAAGCGTTGGGCAGGGTGATTCTTATCACCGCCAGAATGAAGATCCTAATCGTCATCATGCCGGAGGTTCCCACACTCCACGGGGCGGTTCATACCACTGCGGAGGTCGTGAAAATTCTCCGCACCATTTATCGCCATCACAAGACTCTAGCCAGCGTGTGTCGAGATTGGTCGGAACTGCCTACAAAGGTGAGGAGGAATTCGACCTATGGTCATTTCTCAACCGTAACCATAAGGGTCGAACCCACGTTGCGGAAAGTAATCCATGGACAACGCTGCTACCTCAGATCAAAGAGCTGTAGCGAGCTCTGGATCAACTAAAGGCTCAGCAAAATGAGCAAGGGCAGGTCGCGGAGGCGTTCCCCTTTTCTCCGACGGTATTAGCCGCCCCTCTCCCATCAAGATTTAGAATGCCCAATATGCGAGCGTTCGATAGAAATTCTGATCCACAGGATCACTTGTATGAATTCAACGACCTGATGGAGCTTCACCAGGTTTTAAACTTGGCGAAGTGTCATTGTTTGGCAGTAATTCTAACCTCTCATGCCAAACGATGGTTCAGGTCGCTCCCAGCGGGATCGATCAGTTGTGGCCTTAGATGAGCACGACGTTCCTGAGACACTTCCAAGCAAACAAGAAGTTCTCAATGCCTTTGAGCTACCTTAGCAACATAAGGCAAGAGAGGGATGAATCCCTCCAGTCTTACATCGATCGATTCCACAAAGAGCTTCATAAGGTAGCTCACACTCCCGAAGAGTCTGTTTAGACTCTCATCATCGCGGGAGTTCGCCTACAGACCGATCTGTGGAAGGAACTACAGGCTGAGAATGATGTTTCCCTCACCAGCTTCTACAGCCTTGCGGAGAAATACCTCCGTATTGAAAAATCTGTGGCAGTGCTCCACGCCACGACCTCGACACTTAAGGTAGTGCACCTGGTCGAGGGGAAAATAAGAGGGTTGATCGCAGATGGGCTAATGACGATCAACAAAAAGGAAAGAAACCGCGGTTCGAGCCCAAGAAGTCTTATGCTCCGGTTCCTTGTCGCGATCACGACAGGAGTCAATATACCCCTTTAAATGAATCTGTCTCGGCCATTCTTGACAAATCATAAGAGGCCAGTCTGCTTGGAGAGCCCGAGCCCATGAAAGGTCCTTCTTCATCCAGAAACAACAAAAAATATTGTCGTTTGATGAGAATGCAAAATGACATATTTATCCCCCTTAATGTCTAGTCTTTTATACTTATTTGCTGCCTAAATATACTCATTATTATTATATTTTGATTTAGGATGCAAATGGAGGCGTTAACTGCAAAACGGAACTAATTAAGTGAATTCAGACAATTTCAACATTGCTTCGTAATCTGGGCATAACTCTCTCATCAAAGCTTCGATTGAGATGATTCAAAATACTGTGGAACGCTAAGAAAGAGATCTAAAACTTTCATGTTTTGAGTTTGGAGAGATTCTCGGTGAATCAAGGTCGTAATCGAGCTTGAAGTTGACACACCTGCACTGCCAATGTTCTGGAACATTCCGCCTTGTCATGCAATTCAAATAGGCAGATTATTACAAGAAGTTTTGAAGACCTGTTGCACGCAAATTACAGCTGGAAACACCACTTTCCTATTTTATATTAAGACTTTATTTTATTTTCAATTACTCAGATTAAGATAAAGGTTATTTTGGGATCTTAGAATATTTTTAGGAGATTTAGATTAAGTAGAATTAGAATTAGAATTCGAATTAGATATTTTTAAAGGGAGATCATATTAGGGATTACAAAACATATCACACACGCCTCTCTCTTCTCTCTCTGGTGGATTTTCATTTTTCCTTGGAATTCTCGTGATGGCCATGAGTGGCTAAACTTTTATAACTTGGTCGAAGGAAACAAAACCTCGGAATCAATAAATTGTGAGATCAATTTGGTTTTTTCTTTAAGTGTTCAATTTATGTTTGAGTATTGAATGTTCTTCTGTGCTTATTTTAATGATTGTTGCATTTAGTTACTAGGAGGCCTACTATTTTATTAATTATTGCAATCTACTGCTAAGTTAGATATCAAATCCGTAATTGTTTGATTCCTCTAACTTGTGAAGCAATTAGGGTTAATAATTTGCTTATTAATTATTGCAATCTACTGCTAAGTTAGATATCAAATCCGTAATTGTTTGATTCCTCTAACTTGTGAAGCAATTAGGGTTAATAATTTGCTATGTCAGGAATTAGTAATTCTTAAGAAGAACACTCAACTAAATTAAATGCAAATCTTGAGTTTGTGTTGTTTAGCTTCATCGATCTCTCTAGGTCTTAAGGCTACCACTAGATTAAATCTTTAGCGCTTGTCTAGGGTTGTTTAGTAGTAAGGTTAATTAGATCGCTTGTTTCTTAATTAATTACAACTAAGGAGAGATAGGAAAATAGTTCCAACGGTGAATATTTAGGGTATGAATTGATTTATTTTTGTATCCATGATCAGTTGAAAGATTCCGATGGTGGATGTTGACTTAGACCAAGGTTTGTTATTTTGATTGATTGATTAATTTGAATTGTTGTTTTCCCGAAATTGTTTCTGTTTAACTCAAAACCCCCCCATACTGGTTCACATAACATTAAATTCGGCTAGACACTCTCCGTGGGAATGATCCCTACTCAAACTACTATATGTATTTTTAGGGTTTTAATTTTGGGTGCTTACGACAGCACGCCATCGTTATCATCGAGACAATGGACATCACACCGATGAATGCCGAGCTCTCAAGGAGACAATCGAAAACCTTATCAAGCAGGGGCATTTCAAAGAGTATGTTGATGACTCTGCTCCCGCAAGGGAGAAAAATCAGGAGGAACCGGGAAAGAAGCGTCGTGATCGTAAAGGTATTTGTAGCGTGGGAGTAATCTTTGAAGGACTGCACCTCGCGAGAAATTCACGAGGTGCCCAGGAAAGGTATGCTCGCAAAGTCTATCACGACCCCATCAGTGTGATGAACACGACGCGGCAACCACCAAAGGTTCGCAGAGAGGAGGAAATCACCTTCTCCGAAAAGGACGCAGTCCGATTACATCATCCCCATGATGACGCTCTCATAATCACGCCCCAAATAGGACGCTTCAACGTCCACAGAATGTTGGTGGACAACGGAAGTGCTGTGAACATCCTGTTCCAGACAACTTTCGAGAGAATGAATTTGGACGAGGCCGACCTGAAGCCCACCTCGATCCCCCTATATGGTTTTACAGGGGACCATCTAACCCCCAAAGGAAGGATCTCGCTTCCAGTCATGCTGGGTGACTCTAACGAGGTGACCAAAATAACTAAATTCTTAATAGTGGATTGCTCATTCGCTTTTAATGGTATGGTGCGACCTCTACTGAGAAACTTCAAGGCGGTCACTTCAATATACCATCTCAAGATGAAGTTCCCCACCCAGACGGGGATAGAGGAAGTAAGTGGATCTTAGTGCGTTATGTAAGGGTAGTGCAGATGGCGTGCAAAGGGAAAGATATCTCACGCGACATTCCTAGATAGGTAATGGCGATCAGTCGGATCGAATCGCAGCCCAGCCCAGACTGACCGAGGATAATATGGATCCTCGTATTTA